TATTTAAGGTGGTGAATAAGCATACAAAAGTAGTATAAAAATAATTATCGATCCTTATTTTTTAAGTTTTTTTCCTCAACGATTCATGATTTATGTGATTTTGGTCTTCTAATGTATAAAAATCTATAGTACAATAGAACGTAAAACCTATTTGATCAAACAAAAAATATTTTCGATACAAATTTTAAGGGGAAAAAATGAAAGATCAAATTCGTGTTAGCCTACTCATTATTTTTCTTTGAACTCAGAAACCTTTACCGGCAACCCCCAATGCTATATGTTTAATTCCAAGCTCGGTGGCGGATGTGGACATTGTAGGTGAAAAGATTAAGGAGGTAGTGAAGCGAAACGTAACTTCCGCTTTGCTCTTCCGTTTTTTTTTGTACGTATAAGCCGCTACTAACCAAAGCTTCATAAGTTATATCAGTGAACCCGTTAAATAATATATCAACCGAAAAACTCAGGTAATCTTAATTTGCCAAGGTAAAAGGCTCACTAGACAATATGGAAAATTTGGTTCCGTGACGTTTGACGTGGACATAACTACAGTAGGTTAATCCAATTACAATGGATACTGTGTATTTGTCAAAAGGGCGTAAGTGTAATAGCGGCATATAGGCCAAGTCTAAGAATTCATAGTATATTGATAAACTAGCGACTCACCCTCTGGGGTCGTCCCTAGGTGATTCTTTAAATTGACGAATTTAACTTTTTATTTGTGAACCGATTGAAATAAAAAAATACTAAATGTTAAGTGAAGCTTACCACAATATATTAGTGAAAACCGCATCCAAATCGGTGAAACAGTTTCTCAGATTAGCGCGCACAAACGCACAGACAAGCAGATAAACAGACAAACAGACAAAAATTCTAAAATTCATTGTTTTGGGTTCTATTGCTAAAATAAAGACCCCCAATGATAGTTTATCTCAAATATTTTTCTCATATGTACAGACAGCGATCAGTTACGCTTTTATTATATTATTATGTATAGATAATGTGTGTGTATACTATATTTATAAATAATGTAAAAAATAAAAATCTGACATTAAATATTCTCTCTATTGATAAGACAGAAAGTTTATGTGATCAAAGTGTTATGTATTTAGATTCTAGATATTTTTTGTAAGTTGTTCAAGCGGAAGGTACTAATGGGAAAATAATGAAAGCCTAAATCAGTCGTTTTTGTCTATTTGTTTAATCAAACCTCATTCGACAATGGCGAACTTCAAAACCTTTGTAGTACAGATAATGGTGTGAAGTGAATAAATTTTTATATATATATATATATATATATCCATCAAATAGATCTAATAAATAAAGGCTTAAGCTCCCTACTCTACGCTCTACGCGCTTCCATAAAAAACAAGGATCACGCTTTGAGATTGGGAGAGAGTAAATAGAGATACACACGCGAAGAAAACCTTATAAAGCTACATGGAAGCGTATTACAACAGAATTCTTTGTTAGGATATTGGCTTTAGTTAAGCCATTATATATACAACATATAATTATATACTTAAATCCTATAAATATGTCAAAAATATATTAAACATATTTTATAATACAAGGTGTAGCGAAGTTAATATTTAATACTTCTATATGTAAAATTATTCTTTTAAACACAATCATTGCGCAGTGGCAGTAATATCTATTAGTGGTAATGTTACCGGTAATGTTACCGGTAACCGTGAATTTGACTATCGAATTTAAATATTTGTGAATATACTCGTAGATGTGGACTACAACTCACACACACGTTATTCAAATGTCTCAATAAAAGGAGCGGATAGGTGCTATAACAATGGTCTCATTTAGAAATACCACCACGGAAACAAATATTACAGAAGTTAGAAAATTTATCTAATTTTTTACACTAACTACTAAATGTAATTTAAAAATTTAAAAATAGGTACCTAAACTTTTCTGAAAACAAAATACATGCTGAATGCTGACAACAATAGAACAGTTTACAAAGCTATAAAAGTATTAAGTTTTCAAATAAAAAAAATGTTGTTCATGGTGAAAGTTATGAAAACACATTAAAAGACGTACCGAAACTTTGTATCCCTTAAGTCTAAATTTTTTTCTACAGAAAGTGCAGCCATTCGTGGAACATTGTACATGTTAAACTAATTTACATAACAAAGTTCACTTTTAGTATTTAAGTTAATCACTTTAGTCACAGTTTAGTGGCGTTAAGCATGCGATGCGAGAAGAAACATTACGCGCACTACGTAGATAGGCACCGTATTCGTATCTCGTAGAACGAAGCTGGCCGTCGACTGACGATACCGCTACGGCTACGCTACAATCTCTAGACCGCGCAGTCGCAACACTTCTAAGCTTTCATCCCCCTATACCTTTAAGAGTAAATTTTAACATTGCTTGTTATACTTTAAAAGTAATATTTTTACATAATATAATAAATAATAAATCATTTTATAGTATTCCACGCATAAATATATCTATCATTTCAAAGTTCGGCACTAGATTAGTACATAGCTAATACCTACGTTTACTATTTAATAGTAATTTTATTATATACATAAATAAAACCTTTCTGTACAGTAGTCTATACAAAACTCTTGTTTGCAAATATTTCCCTGAAAATCATCCCCTCACCTTGGCTTTTGTCTTTGATCAAAACACAGGTGAAAATTTAAATGCTTTTCAAACTAAATAAAAATATACTTTATTCAAATAGACCTTTACAAGCACGTTTGAATCGTCACTTTTACATTAATTCCAAAAAATAAATTAAATGTCAGTTTGAAGGTCCGTGAGGAATCTACCACCGGCTCGAAGGCAGTTGTGCTGAAAAGAGCCGGTGAGAAAGTCAACAGATGCTCTTTTTTTCAAATAGTATTTGTTTACAATATTATTTATCTGTTTTTGTATTACAAAATGTATAGGTACGCCTAACGTTTTATTTATATACAAAGCTTTATAAGTCATTCTAAAGGATACGTTACTTTGACGATACGTATTAATTTAAAAATCTTTTTATTACTAAGTGTTTTATTATATTTAGGGTTTTTGAATAAGTTTTATTTATTTGATATTAGACATTCAATTTGAGTTTTATGTAAATTGGGTTATAATTACAATTCATAAAAAAAGGAATAACTGAATTCTTTAGGTCTTATATTTAAAATGTTTTATTTCCATTGATACAAAAAATACTAGATACACAATCAGCGATAAAATATGTCCTTACCGAATGAGCGCTTCTTGATCATTTCGGTGCGCTTTTGATTTAGGACTTAGGAGCATTGGAACGCTCCGACGTCACGGTAAACATGCCTCAGTGCTCGTTTAAAAATTGCAAAAATCACACATCTAAGATACTACAAAAGGAGGGAGTTTCATATTTTCGGTAAGTATTAATATTATCATAATATAATTGTTATTGCTATATTGTAAATACTGATATTTTGTCGAGAAATCATCGTAAAAACAGTTTTAAGTATTCTTTAAATTAAGTCGTAATAAACAGCAGGTATATAACCCATATCATCTATCCCACAATCCCTTAGGACCAGGGTATTGAACCAGTGCGTCCTACCCGTAATGACATACGGAGCCCAAACGTGGGCACTCACCATAGGGCTGGTCCACAGACGCTTGGAGTTTCTCTGGCAGACAGAATTCTGAATGAAGTCATTCGCCAGAGAACTAAAGTAACCGACATCGCCCGCAGAATACGCTCGCTGAAGTGGAAGTGGACCGGTCATGTCTCCAGACGTACTGATGGCCGATGGAGCCGAAACGTGCTAGAGTGGAGACCACGTTTAGGCCACCGTAGTGTAGGACGCCCTGCAGCACGATGAACAGATAACCTAAGAAAGGGGGCTGGCAGTGGATGGATGCGGGCTGCCCAGGACCGGGATGTTGACGTTAATTGGGAGAGGCCTTTGTTCAACAGTGGACGGCGATAGGCTGATTGATTGAAATAGCAAGAGTTATAAAGCATCTCAATTGTAAAGATTCTTTCTAAACTTACTTCCAGATTGGTCCCATGTAAATTTCAAAAAAAAAATACCACCCCTAAGTGTGGGAAATTACCTAATGATGAATTTATACTATTACCAATAGTCATATTGACTTTAAACTTTGCAAGTGTGTCTATTTCTGTTGTTTTAGCAAATATTTTATTAAAATACTTTCTTCTTACTTAGCTACTACTATGTCTACACCAAAAAGGAAAAAAATAAAAACTTTTTAACAAAAAATTAATACCCGACTTCAAAAAAAGCACTAAAAAGTAAAAAATAACTGATTGGTAGTTTTCATTTACTATACACACCTAATCAAATATATTCGAAGTCGGTGCCAGCCAATACAAAGCAAACCTTACTTTAATTTTATGAAAGATGAATACTTGTTATTATATGCACACAGAATTGATCACCAATATTTATTTTTTATTTTTCTACGGTTAGTAAATAGACAGGAATGATTACTGCCCAGACCACCCTAATGAAAAAATGATTGCTACACCTTGACTATTTTATGTAGCTACTTCATATATTATAATCGTTTTGAATTTAAAATGGATAGGTCTTGGTTAGATTTAAGATTAGATGACTGCACAAACTATATAGTAATGCTACGCATCAGACAGCGAACTCCCTAACAAAAAAGATTTAAACATTTTGATTATCTGTGGACCTCATATATATAGAACATGACAGTTGTTTTTTTTTAAATCTTTATTTTGTTTAAATCAAACTTGCCTGGAACTCTCTGATTGACTAATGGAGCACATTTCTTGACATAAAAAAAGTATGTCAATGTCACAACGACGCTGTCATTATAAAAGAACCTACTGACGTAAGGAATTGCATTTGACAATTCTACATCATTGGATTTACAATAAATTAATATCTTCTTGTCTGTGATTCTTGTTTTGTTTGGAATTCGCACAGTGCTAATTTAAAATTACGACGTGTTAGACTACTTCTTGTAAGTTGTATAGTTTTTTGTACTTAAATAAAATGAAAGGTAAATCGGGACTGACCAGATTTCATGATTGTTTTATTCTACGTAATGGTAAAATAATAAAAGATGATCTTTGGATACGAGATGGAAAGATTATTAACCCCGAAGAACTATTCTATGTAGAACAAGTTGAGGCAGATGTAACGGTAAACTGTGAAAATTTACTTATAGCTCCTGGACTAATAGATATTCAAAATAATGGTACGTATTTAAGGGCAAAATTAATTAAATTTTTAAACAATATAAATAGCTTACATTAATTATAATATAAAATCACTACTACTTTATTAATTTACTTATCTCATTATAAAAATAAAAAAAAACTTCTAAAACTTGAAAACCTTGTATTTATATTTTATTAATTCATTCTTATCAATTCATGCCCTTTAGAAATTCCTATAAGAAGTTTGCAAAAAAAGTTTGTTTTGTCTTCATTAAAAGTTTTTCATAAAATAAAAAGTTATAGTAATAATATCAATTTTTCTTCTTACATATATACTAGGTGGATGGGGTGTAGATTTCTCATATGATATAGAAAATATTGAGGATGGAGTACAGAAGGTAGCAAAAGAACTGTTAGCTCATGGTGTGACCTCATTCTGCCCTACTATGGTAACATCAGAAAAGGATAAATATTCTAAAATTTTACCCAGAATACAGAAAAAGCAAGGAGGCAAAACTGGAGCAACTATTTTGGGTGTTCATCTTGAGGGGCCATTTATATGTTTGGCTAAAAAAGGAGCCCATGCTGATGAATACATTAAAAATCCTGATAAGGTATATTTTTTATAAGGTGTTGCTTGATAAACTTTATTTTAAAATTTGAAATTTTATTTTTTACTTAACTATTGAGAATTTTTCTATTCATAATATAACAATTAACATGTTTATATAATTATAATATATATGGACCTTAAAAATGTAGAGTAGCAACTAAATAATCCATAAATAATATTTATAAATATTATAATCTAATAATTTTCAAGTATAATTCTTTTAATATTGTTTTTTTTTAATTATATAACACTCTATAATTAGGTCAATGGAATATGTTCATCATGCATTTCTTTTGAAATACTTACTATCATAAAACCACTTATCTGTAACCTACATATTATATTTTGCTACACCAATAAACAGGATGATGAACTCTTATCAATTATTGACAACCAGCCGCAGATGTTTGTTTGTTAAGATATTAAATAAATAATAATGATCAGTTTTGCAAATTTTATAATCACATTGTATTTAAGTAGATTTTATACGGAATATGTTTAGAAATTAGAAGAATAAACTTTAAAATTCAGCTAAACAAAAAAAAAACTGTTTTCAGGGCTTAGAATCAATCCGTGAAGTATATGGATCTTTAGATAATGTTATAATAATAACCTTAGCACCAGAGCTACCTGGTGCTTTGGAAGCAATTAAAGATTTAACGAAGCTTGGTATAAAAGTGGCCTTAGGTCATTCTTCAGCAAGCCTTGCTCAGGGTGAAGAAGCTGTTAAAAGTGGTGCAAATTTAATTACACATCTTTTTAATGCTATGTTACCAGTAAGTTAATTTTTAATTCATAAGAAAGTGTACATTTTATTTTCCAGTTACGTCATACATATGTTGTATTTGTTTGTACACACTTTATATGAAAACCACAGAAATATGATAAATACAGATAAATTCAAGTGAGTATGATGTTGAAATATGAAAATATAGAAAAGACAAAAAACTAACACCGTTCAAAGGAGACTGAGTTAATTTCGTTACTAAAATTAAAACTCTTAAAAAGAATGGGCTGTTTTCAAGCTAAAATAAAAACAATAAAATTAAATTCACACTAATTCATTATTATGATTTTTTTACATTGTGGGAAAACAGATAAGACTAACAGACAAATAAACCACATGCCTAATTAAATATCATTGTACTAGTGCCATTAAATTGGGAACGTGCGCCAAGTACGTTGCAAATCGCACGATATTCGAAAGCCTATGAAAATTCTACAATGCTTAGGGCATTGTAGAATTTTTCACAGAGCAAAAGTCGTGGAAAGTATTTCTAATTTAAATAATAAATTGCGCGCAAGCTACAAGCATACTACGAAACTGTTGCGTCAATTCACATGTGCCTTTTACCATGCGATTGTCCCCTACACCCTACAGTCAATATATATATATATATATATATATATATATATATATATATATATATATATATTATATTATATTATATTATGTACTAATATATGTGTGTCAGTGCAACATAATTGCATGCAAGCTACGAGCTAAAGAATTGGCAAATACACATGAAATTATCAAAACTACATCGCTTTTCCTTTTACGTTGTCACGCTCAAACTACTGAACAGATTATGATAAAATTTATCAAGGAATAAAATAAGGACCGATATAGGCTGCTATTACTACGACTTCTTTTGTTATCATCTCAATAATTATTATAAGCAGAACCGCGGGCAAAAAGTAGTATTAAAATATGTAGAGATTTTATCATTAAACCATTAACAATATTATTAAAAATATCATTATTAAAACATTGCTGCATCTGTTAAAAAAAACGTGTGTGTACTTATGTATAAGAAGTTATACTTTGGCGTAGCAAAACAAAATTAGCTAAAGATTTCATCCCGTGTGTCACAACTCTCTGTTTGTAAAAGGAATGATAAATTAATAAAAATAAATATATTTGATTACTAACCTAACTTCATCATGTCGCTATTTGGCTGTCGGTGTGCGCGCGCATCGTAAAAATTTTACTCTCGTAACATTTTGCAGTCCCACATTAAGTATAACTCCAAAAATTTTATAAAGAATATAAAAAGCTCAACCGAAATTTTAATTGAAATAAGTTTTATTTTCAGTTTCACCACAGAGACCCTGGCTTGGTAGGTTTATTAGCTTCCACAACTGAAAGACAAGTGTACTATGGACTCATATCCGATGGAATACACACTCATCCTGCTGCTCTTAGAATAGCCTGTAGAACAAATCCTGAAGGTAATTGTTATAATACTAAATCGCAAATTTATTGGGTGTGTTGTAAAAATAATAATATATTTATGTTTCTTCGTCAACTTGTTCTCATCTTTTCAATTCGCTTTATGTTATGCAGTCGGTTGTTTTTTTGGAAATATTATTTTTAATTAACAATTTTTTAGTTTTGGTCAGTTAAGATTTTTTAAATTTTATTTAACAATTTCCTATCCTAAATTAATTTTGAACATATAAGTGGTATATATTTTTGTAATGGCCTCTTAAAAGCCTATATTTTAGTACCCCACCCGATCCATTTAGACGATTCTTTAAGGCACACCATTCGGCGCCTCAGATCCGCCATTTTGGTTTTAATGATATCTATACACCATAAGACACTCGCGCTATCGAGACCAATCTAACGACGTATGAATCATCAAAATCGGTAATGCCGTTTCGCAATTACGAGAGAACATAGGGTCGGACACACATACAGGTCAAACGTGTAACCTTCTTTTGGGCTTAGTCGCAGTTAGGTAAAAATGGCGGAAAGGCGCGACAGAGACAAAACAAATTTGCGGTCAAAAGTCTTCTGTATTATAAATAAAACTATCTTTTCGGATTTTTCGCGGATTTATTATAATTTTTGATTCCCGACATTTCGAATGCTTTACAGCAATCATGTTTTGTTTGTTTCATGTTAAATGTCAAATATTCGCGTAAATCTAAGAAAGTATTGTCTTCTGTATGAATTGAAATATCAAATACGATTAATGCACATAGATATTTATAACCATTTTACTTTCCATTATATTGTATTTTTTTGACTACATAAATTTAAATTGAAATAAAAGACAAGATAACAGGTGCACATCCGCTTTCTCTCTTTCTAGAGAGTGATCAATTTCATGAGAGTAATTCTCATTCCATACTCTAATTGTAATTTTATACCAATAGAATTGTTTAAAAGTCAATAATTCTGTAATAAAAACTATTTCCCCAAGTTGGTTTTTTGGACAAATTAAACCACTGAGAGACGACGTACTGCATTGATTTTTATACTGTGCATTTACATTTTAGGTTTAATACTCGTGAGTGATTCAGTCGCAGCGCAAGGTCTAGCGGATGGGAATTACCGGATTGGGCCACAGGCAATTAATATGGAAAACGGTCGGGCTTACATAGCTGGTACCAAAGTACTATGCGGGAGCACCAGCGCTCTCAACCAATGTGTTAAAATTTTCAAAGAAGCCACTGGTCAGTTTGACAACTTTATACTTAAACTTAAACTCTTAGTTTATCCTCACCTAAACCTAGAAAAAGGAAAATGTTAATATTCGGTTAATAATTGCTTGACCTTCAGTGGTTCGAACCTTTTTCTTTTGAACCTCTCAAAAAGAAGTGCACGATTCAAAAAAGTGCATTTATTCAAATCTCTTTTTTTCATTGTTTTTCGGAGAATATAATTAAAATCCACGTTGCTTTGTTTAAAAAAGTACTCTTAAGTGGTGTGTAAGTTCGAATTTGTCTTTAGACAATTAGAATTTTCGATTTTTAAATCTTAGTTTTTGGTTAACTTAACATCACATGTCGCCGCCAATTTTTGAAGATATATTTGTTAGGGAATGTGTATCTATGTTTTTGTATATTAACTAGCGACTCACCCTCGCTCCGCTACACTACGCTTAGTATAGATTTCTCAAAGATATTTTCCCGCAGTAAAAAATGCCTATTTGTTGACCCGGATAACCAGATATCATTATACCAAACATCAAAATCTGTCCAGTGGTTCTCTCGTGATGCGGTCACAGACAGATGAAAATTCTAAAAACTATAGATACGGCCTCAATCGATAATAATGACTAATTTCAATAAGATCAAATATTTAATGTACAGATTCGACTAAAAATTTTATTATATCTGTAGATGACATTTATTTATTTATTAATTTTTGGGAAACAAACAGTGACATATTTCTTAAAAATAATTAAAAACAAAAAAGTCCACACACCAGCAAAGTTTCCACCTATAAATATGTCACAGGTAGAGTAAACATAAATAAAAAATGACATAGTATATTCTATCCATATATTATATGCACTAGTTTCATTGTGGGTAAAGAAAAAAAATTATGGAAGGTTGGCAAAAAAAGTTCAAGTCACTCGGTCCCTGTCATTAATAGAACGTTTGCAATAAATAATCGATGTTTTTTACAGATTGCTCATTAGAATATGCCTTAGAAACTGCATCTCTACATCCAGCCAAAGCTTTGGGAATAGAGCATGTGAAAGGAAATTTAAATTTTGGATCTGACGCCGATTTTGTCATTATGCAACCTACAACATTAGATGTTGTATCTACTTGGATCGCAGGTGAATGCGTTTATAAAAAAAGTACCTAAAAATGAGCCTATTATTGAATAATAAGTAACCTTATTGTGATAAACATTTTTATATACAAAATTAATTATGCACAAAGTGCTCTTCTTATAACATTATGAATATATTGAAATAAATTTTAAAATTTATTTTCGAGTTTCATTCAACATTTCAAGAATGAAGGGGTGCAGGGGGTTGTGGTATAAATAAAAGAGACCTTGATAGTGGCATGGAAAATCTTTATTGAAGTAAATATATTTATAAAGTCAGTACAATTTAAGTTCAATAGTTTCCAAAAATATTAAAGTGCAGGTTGCTGATCACCTGGCAATGTTAAATATGATTATTTCTTAATTAAAATACAAGCTAATATTGAGAAAACTGTAATATGTGAATAATAACATGTATATACCTAAATAAAATCATGACAAAAATATATTTTAGGCAGGCTCTGACTTACACTGCTCTGTGCTGTTGTTATCCTGGCCACAGTTCATAATACATAATAAACTTAATCGTTAAGAGGCCGTAGAGGTCACGCGACAACGCGTCTGCCGTATAGGACGCCCGCGCTGCTCCCGTGACGTCCACGGCTAATAAATTTGGTCAAAGTAAGATGTGCAACTAGTCAAAAAAAAACAAATTCTACGTGTGTCCACACGAATACATGGTATGCCGACTAAGGTGACGATAGTGTAGCGCGATCAATTCCTCCGGAGCGTAGTGGACAGACATACAAACTAGTTGGGCATCTTAATTTTTTTTTTTTACAATAAAATCAAGTTACAAACTACGCAATGTATATTCATGTATACAATAATTACTAAGTTTATGAATGTATAATAATGTAAATACGTTTTATCATGAAAAACAAAAATAATATCATGGAATATTCAAAGAGCCAAAATATTTGAGATTAACTCTACCTCGATATTATTAACTTCTAAGATCTAGGCACAATGCAGCAAAGACTCCTGTATGGATAACAATATTTTCGTTGACTGTGGGGCGAAATATTTTCATTTATTTAGTCAACATCATGACACAGGGTGTACTGAAGTCATTATCTAACACTGCTGTTGCGTTGAGAAGTATAACTGATGCAATTGTATTAGGTTTAGAAACATTAGAAACAGCCTGGACCGGAGTGAACGGGAAAAGTGACGCCGAATTAGAAAGGACGATGTCTAACGATATTTCTTGCGATTATAGACAATGAAAATACTTCAAACTTGCTTACAGTATAGAAAAATCCAATGTACACTTTAGAAAAAATCTTACTTAAAATTCCCGAGCGACTTTTTAAAATAATAAAACCACGCATTTTCAAAATATTAATACGATATCATATTAATAAGGATGCTTAGACAACAAACGGCTTTATCGTCAGACGTCGTCATTCCCACGGTATGGAGGGCAGTTTAGAGAATGGTTTCAGAGCCTGTTCCGTGTGTAATGCTGTTGGCTCCCCTGTGCAACTTGCTCTTACTGCAAGTCGCTATGAAGGCAACTACATCTAATAAAATTTTTAACGTTTACAATTTTTCAAACTTTACGGAGGGTATTGTCTGTTAGATATATTTTTGTGTCACTGAAGTCCACTACAATACATACACCCCATGTGGACTACTTACTAAGTTTAAAATACTTTAACAGAATAAAATTATTGAGCAATATATATTCCTATGAGAATATAATAGACATTTGCTCAGCTGCACCAACACTACGGAAAAAAATATTTAAATCCTAATATCAAATACCAATGCACACTCCACAAATGTCATTTTCATATCAAAAAGATTAAAATTATTAATTAAATTATAAGCATTAAAAGAAATCTTTGGATCAAAATTAAAATATGCATTTAGAAGATGCACCTTCCACACAAACACAAATTACAAAAAATTTAAAGTGTTAACATAAAATGACAAGAAACTTAAAACGTGTAAACCTAGCGTATACTTAAAACTAATTTAAAAACAAACGCCATTTTAAACATACATCTAAACCAGATGAAAATTCGGATGGTGTACAATTATGTAAATAAAAAGTCCCTCTCACATTACGGCAAATGTAAGCAAATAAACATGGCGTGCATTGGTGCAGTATTCCGTACTGTCCAACGTTTAGGGCGAAACCTAAGGCAAGCGCTAACTAAAGATTAACCGACGATATCAAAGACTAACATTTCTCTGTCTACATGTGGCGTATTGTGAGACACAAATATAGATTCATATGATATGTTTTGTTATTTACTGAATAATTTGCGTGATGAATATCTAAATGGCCGCTTATGTGAAAGAATTATGCTTATAGTTAAAGAATCAAATGAATTAAAAAAATAAGATACTAAAATACGTAAATACCAAGAATTGTATATTAAAATATTTGTACTTTTACTGACTAAAGGAAAAAACATTGGCAACTGCTAATAATCCTACGATTGTAAAAAAAAAATAACTTGTATAATGTAGATTGAAAATGGTCTTCTCAAATTCGTTCACTCTAGATGTGGAATGCAATTAGAATTCTTTAACAATATTAAAAGGTATAATAATATATTAAATTTTTATAATCAGCTCAACAATGTATATAATCTATAATAATTTAAAAGCCTAGATCCAAACTGTGATATTTATTGCACAAGCACTCTGTGGCTTATAAATTCCGATCGGAATAGAGCTCACAACCTTAATTGTTGGTTTTTTGAAAAGTGGAGAGACCAAATAAGTCGGTGGTGTTAATTAAGGTGGGTGAAGAAATCTAACAAACGAACATGCTACACAACTTAAATACATAGTGAAAACACATCGATGACTATTACTTCGGTATATTTAAATAGTATTTCTGTACCATACAGCGGTGACGTTATAATGTTACAAACAATGTTTCGAAGATCACTATACTTGTCAAGGCAAGCAGGTGATCAGCTTACTGTGCCCTAACCAGACCGAAGACTATATGAGAAAAAGTAAAATTGGCCAAACCCCCACCCACAGTCATTATAATGCGGTCCAATAAACCATAAATAGACACCGGATCAATACACGGAGTTATCGATTATAGCCGAATCACAAAACAAAATCTTCCACTGTACATCAACATTAGACGATAGTGACGCAAAATAAATGAACGTGCACAATATAGTACTAACTTCCCACCTACATCTACTTGTTTGATATGATCCGATGTCTGTTTATGAGAGTACTGACAGTACCACAACTCCACTGTGACCATCATCTGTGCTTGTTGCCACAAAATAGGCAATACGCCCACCTCCAATAGGGAGGGTAACATTAGAGCTCACCTTGTGCGCTGCGAACCCTACTTATATCACACTATATGGCACTAAATACAATATTTTCATAGCCATTTTATTGTTGAAACCGCGCCAAATATTTCTTGATAACATTCGTTGAACTTTACTTGGGCATTGATAATGATCCACTTTTTCTTTACACGAGTGAAAACTATAAAGGCCCAGAGTTAAAATCGAAACTAAGACCGCGAGTGCCTTATAGAGTGCCATATAATGTAATAACTACATCTACTGAAGTTATTTATTGCTGGATACATAAGGGAATATAGATTCAAGAGAAATATATTTACCAAAAATTGCTTTATAGTGTATATAGGTAACTTTTAAGATTCCCGAGAAAGGCTACTGTAATGTACTCTAATGATACAATTATTATCAATTAATGTCAATGGACAATAGATACCATTTGACCTGCCATTACCCCATGACTAAGTGCTTACTTGCTACAGCAAGAATATACAGCCAATGGGAGGTCGTTGCGGCCTACCAACCTGCGCCCTCCCCGCGACCACCCCTAACAACACTAACAACACCACCCTAGGGCAAACACGTCATACAGCTCTTTGTATATCAATTGAAAAATACTAACATCTACGGTAAACTCCTACTTCGACACCTACATAAGATACATGGCAAGAACAAAAGGAAACATCGTCAACGATATATCACCCAACCGATTCAAGTGTAAGGACAAATTAATAAGTAGTATAATATACAAATGATAATAATTAATACTTTCAAACACACACGGCCAAATAATCAAGCCGATGCGATAATAATCATTTGAAAAATTACACATACATATATTTTAAACTTCAAATTTATTCATATTGAAATTCACACATAAAATAGTATAATTTGTAAAATTATCCAAAACTTATCACACCACTTTTTAATAATTTTATGCAACCCTAAGCAATATTTATTAATAGCGTCAAACGCTCCCCTTGGGGCTTATAAGTTCTATTTCGGTTAATTTTACGTCACTAACACACAATAATTTTGATCAATTGGACAACAAATAAAAATTGAACATTATAATAATAATATTAAAACCCTGAATATTAATAAAACAAAAAAAATTGGCAACAATTAGTAACTAATTTTACAATATTATACAATAAAATAATTATTATGTGCATGCACAAATATCGTAAGAAAATAATTTGGCAGTAAAAATTCGTAACTCTAAAGGCCTATCGCACTGGCCAAAAATACTAATAAATATAGGCCCCGAGAACACATACACTAAAACGAAACGTTTAATGACGAAATCAGAGTATTAATCACACCTATCATCCGCGACGGGCAACGACTCATTTATAACCTACTTAGTTAAAAAAATAAAGAAAATAAAATTCCCTAATACTATCGGGACAAAAATCCTGAAACAAATAACTTAAAAACAATAAGAAAAAAAATAAACCCAAATGTTACTCACTAATAATTCAAGGACTTAACGTCAAACTAACCAAGACCGGGTCGCGCCGTCCGTTGTGACTCCTCCGCGATCTCTGGCTCTATCTAGTCTCCGTTGTAGTTTCATATGTCTCTCTATTATTGCTTATATCACATCAAATGTTGCAATGTATTCAAGAACTGTTCCAATACACAACAAATTAAACAAATATTACTAATTAAGTACATACATTAAATTACACGTTACATTACTAATGAATTGCTAAAATATTTTTTTTTATTTATATGAATGATAATAATATGGCCTCAGCAATACACTTTCATTTTGGTTTCCGTATTATAAAATTAAATCGATATAAATTAAAATAATAACGTTATAGCTTAAAGTTATATACACATAGGAATTCAGGAACTTAAATTGTTCAAAAAAAATATACATACACATATATTTATTTCGAATTATATCAGACGATTCTTACAATGCCTTTTAGTTTCACCGATATCCAAAAGAATTAGAGAGCACTTCATATAACAACAATTTGTAAATAAAATATCACACTCAATCGTAGGTGGTCCGGTTAAGTACTTCAGTTAATACATGGATAGGTTATTGCAAATCAATGAACTTTAATACTGGACTTTCGTATTCTGGCGATATATCTGTTACCAATACAATAAAAACGTTAACGTTAAATTTAACATAGAAAATAAAGTAATACAAAATACTAATCTTTGGAAGACGAAAGTCGAGACGAGTAAAATTAAACGTTTCAAAAATTCCGCCATCACGATTTGCAACACTTCGTACAACCATATTATTATCAGTAATTGTTAACATACATCAGACATTTAAATAAGATAAAACCGACAAATATTACTGTATTATTTTTACATACATGAAAATGTTTGATGTAATTTTTACGCTACTAACCACAATTTTAACATTTTTTTTTTTTTCATCTACTACCTAAAAATTTTCATGAATCTCAATTTTGAATATTAAATGTGGATAGCTATAAAAATATATATATTTTGGCGAACTGTATACGAATTTTAAACACATCAATATGTAGAAATAAAATTTGTTTATAATGGCACGTTCATGAATATACATACATATACCATATGTCTTTTAATTTATATATTATAATATTAATATTCAACAATGAAATGCGACAAGTGGAGAGTGCTAAACAGCTTTGTGACGCGCAATACCCGTGATGGAACCAACATGTCGCCTCGTATTCATAAAATTTCAAAATCCAAATTTTCATGAAATCTATATATACACGAAGATGCCACATAAACAGGTTAGACAGTATATTTTTTAAATTATCTGTACAAAATTATGTTCAGTATCAGTGGCTCCCAATACAATAAGATCAGATAAATTTAAATTAACCAAATCGTATATATCATCATTAATAAATAGCCTAGCCATGAAAAATTTCAAATATAGGCTCTTAAAACAAGAGTACATGAAAAAACGTTTTGTATAGACACAAGAAATCTGTAAATGGTAAATATATTTTAACGGACAATATATAATATTGTATACGCGATTAACCTAAACTAGATGGCACGTTATTTTAGTGTCGCCTCCTTTGGTCGTAATCATAATAATATAATAATAAAAATTTCGCTAATAATAAACTCAATTGTGCGTAATGACATAGGTATATATCCGAAAACGGGCTGCGATTATAACAAGTTCCGAGTATTTTTTTTTGCGTATAGAGCATTTATAACCGTTGTAAAGCACTGAAATCGAACATTTCTTTCACCTGATCAATTTCAATCATAGTATAGACTTATCGACGAAAATGTCCAACAACGGTTACAAGTCTGTGTTTATTTTAGTGACAAAATGTATGAAGAAATTTACAGAGTAACGCAATCAGTAGTAACGAGGCGACACTCCCACGCAGACCCCTAATTGACATGTATTATCTTCACTCGAACTAGGAACCATACCAGCTGCTAAATTTAGAAACATAATAGAAATACCAGTCAACGGTCGGAAGCGCAAATATGCTGACACTCGATCGTAGCTCAGTCACAGTGGGGCAGAGAAACAAACAAACTCGCCTCTCGCTCGACTCCACAACACAATATCGTCGTGTAAATATATAACGATTAATTTAAATATCAAACCAATTAACTATATTATTTAAATTAATAAATCGAATTCTTCCAAACGTGAATAATCTACGATCAAATTGTTCCTGTATCTTCACGTGCGTGTTGACCGGATAGTAACATATGTAAAAAAAGATATTAGCCTAAACTTTGGATTGTATGTTATAACTAAATGCATCCATAATAAAAATGTGAGATGAATTAAACCGAAAACTCAAGTATCTTAGTATACTTTGGGAATATCTATCCACAGGCAGGAACTGGTTAGATCCTAAATTAAAATTCCACAACATAGGACAAAAATAATAAAAAAAAAATATAGATTTACAGTTCGCTGCGAGTGGATAGTGACTATCATGAAAAAAAAAAAAACACAAAACAATAAAACAGTCAAATACTGGTTTAGCAAAAATGTTAAGCTTTGTAAAATCAGCAATTAAATATAATAATATAAGGGAATAAATGTGAGATCTTGTAGTATGCAGACTTACAGCCATTGAGTTGTTCCTCAGACAATGTATAGGGTGTTGAGGACTAGAACATGGTGATTATTCTTAGCCAGAGTGACGATGTAACCTTCTGACGTTATCTTCAGACCGCAGCAGCGAGACACCTGTAATTCATTACAATACTGTTAATAGATTTGAACGCCTTAAATATGACAAAGTATAAAATTCCAAAAAGTTTAGTATACACAATTAAAACTGCAAATACAGATTTTTTAGTAATGAAATTGAGCATATAAATGATAGATGTATGTTATTATCGTTTCACTTGGCACTTTATTAACACCAGAAATAAAGGAATTCTTCGAATATTCTTTGGATATTATATAACATTATAAATGCCAATGACAAATCGATGATTCTTAATTTTTTTTTATTAAATATACTATAATGACAAATGTCAAGAATAATTTTATTTCATATCTATTTAAGACAAAAATTACCTACTTTTATTTGAAACCAGTTAATTTCTGATTAAATAGTGGAGAAAGTAATATGATATGATTAAAAATAAAAAATAAGGTATGCAGTAATCTTATCTTAAATGAAGTTTAGCTTTACATAACTTCCCTTACAAGGCAGACTGAGAAGAAATTGTTTTAAACTTAATTTACGTGATTTGCGCAATATGTAACTTTCTTTATATACTCGTATACACTAATACTTCAGACTTCTCGGTCTCTCTAATTATGCTTTCCACTTACTCCTACGCGATTCAACTACGCTATTCCCATTAAATATACGCTAACCTTTGACTAAGCTAGTAACTTTTCATACATCACAGATCACATATTAATACTACATTAGTACAAATGCCTCATTCCATACAAAGAAATTGGACAGCGATAATTCGAGCTATTTTTGTTTGCTTGATTTTTTTTCTTTTTTTTTTTCTTTTTTTATTTATTTATTAGATTCACCAGTGGTTAGTTACAATAATACAATTTATTGAATTGATAACAATAGATGTCGTTGATTCGCAAATAGTTTTAACTGTTTTATTTTATAAATATGTGCAAACTAACTAACATAAGGCAAATATTGTAAAATTCATTCTGCATTTGAGTAAAAAAAAATCTGTGGTTTTTTACAATTTTCAATAGTAATAAAAAAATCATAAAAAGCAAAAGCGCCATATGTGAATTTACACTATAAAGTACAAACCCCTTATCTGACTGCTGATATTTCAATAATCAGTAAAATTACGCAAATTTGATTTATGAGCGCATTATTTAGTTTCCCTTCACTTAGAATATTTTTTAAAACAACAATAGACCTTTTAAGGATCTATTTTTTTTTGTTAATTGAACACAACTTTAATATTACATGTAACGTCATCTATTGACATTTATTTGAACTAATTTTTCTTTGTTCGTGTTGAGACCCCATGCATACATATAAGTACTTCAATACTTCTCAGTCTTCTACTTATCTTGACTATAGTGCCTTTTTTTTTAAAGTCTCCCTGCTGGGCACGGGCCTCATTTAATACGAGCGGGATCAGGCTATTGTCCACCACGCTGACCCAGCGTTGGTTGGCCGTTAGCGAACTTTAAATGTATTTCGAAAACTTAATAGGTTCTCTCAGACATACAGGTTTCCTCTCGATGTTTTCCTTTACCGTAAGACAAGCGGTGATCATGTTAGAAAGGATTCACACATGAAAATATCACATGCGAGACGATGCATATGAACCCGTTTCACTCGGCTTCCGAAGCAAACGCATTACCACTGGACTACCACTGCCACTAAATTCCCTATGCTACTTCCACATAATATAAACACATACCTTTACATAGGGGCACTCAAACTCAGTGACGAGCACGCCATCCCGCGTGAACACGGCCACGTGGAACTTATTCCCGTGGGAGTCCCCGATGAGCACGTCGCCGGCGTCCGACACGTCGATGCCGTTGGGGAAGTTGGTCACGTTCTCGCACCCGATGCGACGCAGGAACCGGCCCTCGTCGTCGAACACGACCACGCAGTGACCCTTGAAATCGCACACGTAGAATTCTTTGCCTGCAAACAGTTGTCTCTTTGAGTTTTTTTAAGCGAGTGGACAGACGAACGCGTCTTTTATCTATACTAATATTATAAAGAGTTAAAGTTTGTGAGTTTATGACGTTGTATTGGTAATCTCTGAATATATTGAACCGATTTACATGAAACTGGGTAAGAAGATATTTTGAGACCTTAGGAAGGACATGGATACTTTTGATCCCGGAAATAATAAGGGGATGGAAATGGGGATGAAAGTTCGTATGGGGAATCAATTACTATTATAATTTCGAAAGTATGTATGTGTGTTTTAAATCACTGGTTTGACACGAAGGAGTAATAAACTACTCCTTCATACTAAGCAATCACTTGCATTAAATTTTAGTATGTATATAGATAGAATATGAGGAATAGCGTACAGGGAAAATAAGTCGCTAGTAGCCAATGTAAAATGTGTTACGGTTCAAGTTTTGTATTAATCGCATGATATCCCAAGAAAAAATATTATCCATTTACATTTCTGCTTCTATTGTTATTGTGCGCGCGCATCGTAAATATTTTACTTTCATATTTTTTTCCAAACGTGCCCAAAGAAATATAACTTCAAAAAGTGTTTATTGTTTGTTACTTGAAAATCAAGTTCAGCACGAATAAACATAAGCGATAAGACAAACTTTATCTAAAATAACAGTAATTTCACAATGGCAACCATGTTTCCAATAAAACCTCCATTACAAAATTCAAAAAAGTCACAATCCCAATAACCTATTATTTTATTATCTTCAATTTCCCTTCCTATCTATAGTTTCATCACTATCTGTAAGGAGCTTATCTCAAATCTATATATTATATTCAGTAAGTTTTCCTTATTTATTTATAAACAATTTACAATACAAAAACAATAAACATGACATACCACTGATGGCGATATCCGAAGGCTCCCGCATGCACTCGCTGCAGTCGAACCAACTCATGAGGTCGCCCTCTTCAGACAGTATAAAGACCGTGGGCGTGACGCTGTCCACCGCCACGATGAGGCCTTCCGCGGTCACGGCCAGCCCCGCGACTATGTCGATGAATCGAACCTACGAATACGCCGTACATCCACACTAGTATTATAAATGTGAAAGTGTGTTGGTTTCTTTGTTTGTCCTTCTTTCACGTCGAAATGTAGTCACGGATTGGCGTGATTTTTTGTGTGAAAATAGTTGGAGGGTTGGAGAGTGACTTAGGCTACTATTTACCGCGGTAGGTATATAATTCTCACGGAAACCACATTATAATATAATCCAAAAAAATATTTATGATCAGAATTACTTGAAACTTGGTAGTAATGCTCTTCAAATACAATTAAATAAATACGTGTTTTAGCATTTTTCGAAATTCATCTCATAAGAGGGGATGAAAGTTTGTACGAAACCCATTTTTTTAGTTTTTTTGTAGAGTTATTTATCAAAAATAAAAAAAGTTTCATTTGTCAAAAAATAAATATACCCGAATTTTAAGCAAACAAGCAAAAGCTTAATTCACTTTAAACTACCAAAATATTCAAGAAAATCGAATGAATCAATACAATGTGGGCATACAAAGAAGAAACTTATCTAGGGTAACACTATTAATGCATATTATATGAATAGCACTCTAAATGAGTCTTTCTCAAAAGGGTTTCGCATTTCTAAAATTTTAATTTGCGAAATCTTATTTTCAACTAAAAAATAAAGTAATAAACTTTACTTGCTAATTCAGTAAAGAAAAAAACATCGAAAGCATTGTAGTTAGAAAAATCCTAACTAACGGTCATCGTAGCGGACTATAGAATGGCCCCTTCGCATGCTCGTGTATCCAGCAGTGAAACTATGAAAAGGGCCGCAATATTATCTTAGGAACCAAAAATATTAAAAAAAAAAACAACAAACATACAGCGATCTTCTTCAAGAAATGTCCGTTCTTGGTGAATATTTGCATGCGCGACCGCTCGTTGCCGCGGTCGCACACCACGAACTTGCCGGTGGCGCGCACCACCGCCACTTTGCGGGGGTACCACAGCTGACCCTCTTCTTTACCCGCCACGCCGAAATTGAATTTATGAGTACCGGACTTATCGAATACCTAGAAAGAACATTCATATTTATCATCATCATAAGATTTGTATGTGTATGTGTAACCGATTGATGAAATGTAAAATGAAATTTAATAAACAGATAGGCATAAGACCTGAAATAATACATAGGCTACCTACTGTCTGGCACCTAGAGAGCAAAACCAGAGTAAGTCACTAGTATATTAACTTAAGTCCAACGTTGCACAATTATTTTAAAAATGCAATTATTCTATATTTATATATTTTTAGATTTTATTTCAAAACATTGTACATTATTGAAAATTTATAATAAACATTTAAGATCTCTATAAATAATCTGCCATGATACTTAAATAAATATTAAAAACGTAAATATTTTTTCCGGTCTATACAGGTGGGTGTGAATAAAAACGTTAAACGCCCACAGTTTTCGAATCAATAGAAACGACGCTGGCTATATTTTTTTTTTAACTTTGTGAAGATATTTGTTACTAAATCGAGCGTAAATCATAGGAACTGAGGATAAGACTGAGATATAAATTTGTAGAAAAAACATTACCTAAAACGCGTATACACTAAGTGGGGATTACTACATCACATACCGAGTCTAAAGTCTTAAACTATTCTTACAAAAAGTTAAAGTCGAGTGGTAAGAAGACAAACCCGAGCGAAGCGAGACTAAATCTCTAGTAAATTTATAAGTCTATCATATTTTGATGTGTCATGTTTTCACGCATTTAATTAAACTGCACAACAATAGACCAGTTCCATCCAAATTATTAGAAAATTTTACTGCCATTATTAGCCGTGACATAAACGCACACAAGTAAATATTCAAAGGCAGTAAAAAACTCGCGTGACGCCGATTTTCATAGCTTATATTATACTTTTAAATTAATTTATGGACCTAGGGTTTTATTTGTATTTCCTTGTGTGAGTGAGGCACTATCATCTGTTACTTAATTGGAATTTTAGGGTTAACTATAGTTATATTACATATAGAATAAGTAAGGGAAACGCCCAATTTTCCTACCTTTTCTGTAAGAATGTTTTACTAAGTCTTACGAAATTATAAAAAACAAATATGTATTTTTTATAACAAACCCTTTTATTGAAATGAGTTTTATAATATCCCATACTTGAGAAATGATTGAACACAAAACCACGAATGGTCCTATAAGAATTTAATTTTTTATTGTACGATGCCTTAAAAAGAACTTAAAAATATACTAAATATGTAAATAAATCTATTAATACAAAACCCAATACATACCGTGATGCGATGATTATTGGTATCAGCGACAATGATGTCTTCATCATTGCCGAGGCAGAATCCATGGGGAGAGTTGAACTGTCCCTTGCCACCACCCAGCTGGCCGAACTTGAACCTAATATGCATTGGCGTGGCTTTGGTGGCCCTCACTAGTGGTGCCGGGGGTGCTACCAGAGCGGCTTCTTCAGCTGGCGTTAGCAGAGGCCGGCCGGGGGAAACCCCTCGAGGCCCCACACCGCCAATACCACCTACACCGCCGAATCCGTTTACTTCTATAATAAATGTACATTGCATTTAAATACTAGCTGCTGCCCGTATCTATGTGTGTATCAGTGGCGAAGAGAGAAATTTTAGCAGAGGTAAGCCGCTCCAAAAAAAAAAACACAAAAAAACATTGATATACAATTTTTAAATGTAAAAAATTAAGTTTATGTAAAGTTATAGCAAAATTACATTTTAAGGTAATAAGACTTATATGGACACTTTGCCGCTGGTGTGTATTTCTATTTATTTTACAACAACTATACATGACCCCTATTATGTAAGGAATACTAAAAATAAGAGCTAAAGCTGTGAATTTGAATTAAGTGACAAATTGAAATTAAATTTAATTACGACTTTAACTTGAGACTATAAGTATAATATAAAAAGTTCTATTGATCTGTACATCTGTTCTATAGTTAGATACAATTAAACAGACAGAATGAAAAATCTAAATAGGCACAATCACCTTAAATGTTACCAAAATAGTTGATTACATCTTTTGGTTACAATTTTATTGTAATATATTTATGTACATAATTATATTTTACTTTAAAGGTTCAAAACATGGAAATATCGTATTGATAAGGGTGGGGGATATTGACTAAAATTGAATTCGCAATTATGAAAATATATGAAAGGAGTTCGGATGCAGTAAAGCTTTAACAACAGCTGCAATTTCTCATGAGCACCACGTAGACAACTGGACAGATTCTCGAATAAAATATTTATTTTATTGAATGTATTGGCTATTTAAGTACTAAAATTTCATTTCAATTTGTTCAAAAAGTATCAGTACAAAGTAGTTAAAAATTTTATAAAAATCTTCATTTGCAATGGTGCAGACTGAAAATAATAATGAACAATAGACTAATAATTGGTTGTATTGAAGTATGATGAAACATGCACAGAATATACATACATACATAAATACTTATAGTATTTATGTGCTTTGTACAATTTACAAATCTAAGATGTAATTTAAATGAATATTTATCATACGAATAAAATAAATATATTTTTACAAACGAGATTTGAACCCAGGATCTGCAGCCAAGGAACAAATACGCTGAGCACTACACAAGGTGTTTGTCATTAAAATTAATTCAAATTAGTGGTTAATTATATAACAAAATTCAAGTTATGATTGACTTTGAAGGATAACAACAAAAATATTGATTAGCTTAAAAACTAAATTGTGTTATAAATGTTTTATATATAGATATAATAACATGTATTGTTTTTCACACAAAATAATATCAGGAGATATTGATTGCACTAGAATTTTAAAAGAACTTAATATAATTACTCTTAAACCAAATGCAATGGTAACGAAAGCTCAAAGTTTTATATGTCAGTTTTCAAGAATGATTTTAGGTTTAAATGCCCCACTAAGTAGAGCTGGAAAATGTTATAATAACTTACTGAAAAATTACTGATATATTTAACACTGCTATAAGGCTAAACTCAAAACCTACTTTATGAATCTATATCGACCCCTAATATGTTTGATATGGTATATTATTATTTTAGTTTTTATACTTTTTTCCCCATTTTTTTTTTATTTTGATTTGATCATAGTTTAGATTGTATAAATATTGTTTTCTACCTTTTATATATATTATATACCTATATATTAATTGAAGAAATGTATTCTTAGTATATAACATAGACTTTCTAATAAATCCCCCCCAACGTGCGTTCACCTTGTCGTGGTGGGGGGGCTCAGTAGTGCCCGGCAATCCAACCGGGCGCGAAGCTAAGAAACGCACAGGGAGGTTGCCCACTTCGGTGGGCGGTGGGAGGTGGCCCTCTTCGGGGGGCGGTGTACCACGCGGGTTGCTCCTGGTACTTCTCTGATAGCAGAGTGGACTGTGGAGCAACCCCATGGTTGTGGTGGTCTGCTTTGGCAGACCTGCCGTCGGGGCGTCGTAGTTGAATGCGTAAGCGATCCTGCGACGCCCCATTAAGACGGGGGAAGGTTTTGTTGGGTTTTAGTGGGTAGTACTGGCTGTATTACGCCGGTGAGTCCCACACGTCGTGCGTAAATGCATTTCCCAACGTTAAAAAAAAAAAAAAAGGCTTCCTAATAAATGAATAAATAAATAAATAATTAAATAAACATGTTTAATGATTTAAATAAACAAAACTGACTCATTAAATTGCAATAGTAAAACCGACGTACTTGAGTCTGTAACATTAAAAAAATAATACCACTCACCAGTATTTAATCCGAGTTTGGCAAGAGCCTGCAAGTTGTTGTATGCTTGAGGCGAATTCAAATCTCCGGCAAGTAGTTCAGCAAGAGTAAATGGAGGAGCTGGCGAGGCGTGTGGTGGCGGTGGTACTTCCTTCTCCGCAATACTGGCCAACTGTTGCAAATTATATTCCACCATAGATGGCAAAGTTGGTACTCCCCCCACACCGGTAACCGCTCCCACTCCGGGAACATTGTTCACATTCACTACACCAGGGATCACACTTGTGTTGCTCACTGCACCAACTGCACCAACTCCTGGCACGCCAATAGCTGGCACACCCCCAACTGGCACTCCCACTATACTGCCAACCCCTGTCACGCCAGTAACTCGACGTACATTACCCAGTGGAAAGTCATCGAAAACCGGCGCATTAGTTACTGAGACAGCCGGTGAATGAGAATTCGATGCCACAGAAACGATAGCAGATGATTCACTAGCTCGCTTCCTCTCTTCAGCTCGGGTTGCTTCAGTGCGAAACACCCCAAATGTTTCCTCGGCTATCGAATCAAACTTTTCCATTTTCGTGACAAACTCCAATGAATAGTCGACATCGAATTCAGGAGCTCCTTCTAAGAGTCGTGCAAATTGGGAAGCAACTGTTTTCTTCAGCATTACGATCTCAGTACCATCTCCCCGGCGAAGGAGTCTCGCGGCAAATTTACAAGCGCAATCTATGCGCTGGACAGTTTTATCAACGCGATCGAACAAATCCATTACTTTCAGCTCTCTTTCTTTGTGCAACCTTTCTAGTTCTTCTAAGGCTTTCTCACGACGTCTTTCGAGAGCCGCTTTGTAAGCATGGAATGCTTCATTAACGACGTTTTCAGCATCGTCTCTTTGCCGTTGTAGATCACCCAGAGCGTCATCAAGCCTGGCCGACGCACTCCCAGCGGCCACCGCCCTAGCGTTGGCTTCTACAATGAAATTTCTTAGCTCTGCTCGCAAATTTGGTTCAGCATCAACTATGCGCTCGCAACGGTGCTCTCCGACTTTATGGTCGACAGTTAGACATTCTGTGCAAGCCCCAACCTCGCACTCGCAACAGTAAAACTTGAGACTTTCTCCTACGTGACGAGTGCAAAAAATTGGTTTATGCACAGCGGCTTTCTCCTTGGAAGATCGTAGAGCATCAAATGGAACGACGCGATGGTTTTCAAAACACCTCATAAACTCGTGGGCCGAGTTACAATTAGAACATAAGAAGTGAGAACAATCTGTGCATCTAGCGACAGCAGGTTCCTTGCTCTTACAACAAGTGCAAACAACAGATTGATCCATGGAGGAGACATCCAAGATGTTGGTGAGGACATAGTCCGATGGAAGTGATGCAGCTCCACCTCCAGGCATCTATATAAATAATTCAGTCATGAGTTTTGCATTGAATAAAAATTATATCCAATTTAAAAAAGAAATATAATTACCACCTTAGTTTCTTGTTTGCACAGAGGACATTCAACAGCCAAATCATATTTAAGTGAATCCCCAGCTTCATTTACCATCAATTTGTCAATGCATGCTTCACAGAATACATGAAGGCATGACAACACACGTGGACTGCATAATTTATTGCTGTAATTATTATAAACTAATGTTATATCTTATTTATAATATAGCTTTTGTACAATATATAATTTATACAAAAGATACCCAACATTTAAATTCAATTCCAAAAGGAAATTGGTACATTTTAGAGCCCTTTTCTTAGTTTTTAGTTTTTATCAAGTCTATATATGTATAAATTATAGAAATACAGTAAATACAAAATAAATTACTCACTCGCAAATTTTACAATTTTGTTCCTGTTTACCATTATCAGTAGACTCCAATGAACCCTCATCACCAAGACTAACAAGACCATCCCCAAAAAGCTCGCCGTTTATTTCTTCCATTTTAACTTATAATTACAGTGTTGTATAATGTATATTTTTTACCTCAATCAACAATAATCTGAAATTAAAAACCTCAGTATCATCCCTGCTGCACTTATGAATTTTATTCCGATATCAACCTAAAGTTGACATTTACCATACAAGTTGTAAACTGGCTGACTTATGTTTAGTACATGTCAGTAACTTTAGTACAATCACATGGCATACATAATATAATATGATTAATTATTACATCAATTTATTTTTAAAGACATAATTTATCTATAAACTATAGGTTCATAACAATGGAAATAATGACTATGAACAAATATAAATCATAATCAAATTAAGCATTTTACTTTCTCAGTTCACATTCATATATTTTTATATCATAGCTTGCTTAGCTATCCACTCTCACTTTATTTGATACCTCAAAAAATTCAATATTGTCAGCCCAAAAATCAAATAAATCACATCTACAGTTGCTGGATAAAACAAGGACACCCGTTTGTGTTTAAATATTACTAAATATTTTATTTCAAAATACAGCTAAGCTTTTTTTCAATTAAACTATAAATAATTAATTATTAAATTATGATACATATATTTTTGTGGTAATATTTTGATACCTACTCATTTTTTACAAATTTAAAAATGAACCATTAGTATCGTTTGATTATTTGTTTGTATTAAAATATCAAAGAAATTCAAAAAAAATATTTTTTTACTATGCTAAAATGAAAATAGTGTAAGTACTTGCTATACACTCTTGCTTGTGATATGCTAATGTGAAACATATACATATTTACATACACCCTCACAAACATAAATATACACATACATGATATGAATATATACACACTTTTACCAATTACTGGAATCCTTTATAATCTTGCCTTCAATAACTCACCAAAGTTACAAACAGACACAGCCAACCATTTTTTTTTAAATATTTACAGTTGTTATTTAACAATAATAATACTTTTTAATTGAGTTCAAGTTAGGCACAAAGAATGAAAGAATAAGATATTGATTAACTATTCATATTGGCCAAACATCTGTATGACCACCATTAAAGTAGTAAGTTACTAATAATTCCTAAAGGAATAAAACAAAAACTATATGATTTTCTGAAGAAAATCATAGTTTTTACATAAAGTAATTGAGGAAAACTAGAAAATTCTATTAATAAATAATGAAATGCACCTTTAATATTATTAAAAACTAATAAGTACAAAACTATTTATTACTTTTCTATTCTACACTAAAGAAAAAAAACTCTTAATATGATACAAAACAAAAATTCAAACTCATTTTCAAATATGTTTGATCAATTTAGCATATAGTTCAATATATACATGTATGTATATATATATATATATATATATATATATATATATATATATATATATATATGAGTGTGTGTGTATGTATGTATTAATAAAAAATTGTTTCAAATAAGAAAAAAATATTGCACTTATTATTATTATTATATATTATAACAAATATTAAATGCCATTACAGAATAGTTTGAAAAAAGCAGAGTTCCTATAAAAAGTCACATAGATATTTTTTTAGACATAAGACAATATATAAACGAAATAAGTTTCAGCTGCTTGTAATATACACTATTATATTTTCGCTTTTGACAAAAAGATATCAAAATAAATCTGGCATTAATGAGTCGTTTATTATTCAAAACTTACGTTAGAATATGAAAAAATAAAACAATTCATCTATAATCTCTAGTCTGAAGGTATCTACATACTTACACTGAAGTACCTATCATAAACGCAATGCACCATGCACGCTGCAGACAATGGCGAAGGTCGATAGTCCATTTCTTAGCGATTTTTACTAGTCACATTAATAAAAAGAGATTATGTACATATATTTTAAAGATTTACTAACCTTTAACAGTTATATTTTGTGGAAAGGGCGATAATCAAACACGCAAAATGTTCTACCACGCCGTAACTATGAGAATATTCATCACTATGTAAATAAATAAAAAATGAGCATCAAGCTTCAATAGATATATTTTTTTAAATAAAATAGTAATTCTTCGATGAGTTTTTAAAGAAATGTTTTGTCACGTTCTCATTTTAAAAAGACGAATGAATACATCACTGTTTAGGTATTGATTTTCTTCGTTGGTTGCGCTTAAAAATGTAGATATTTTTTTAATAGCAACATTGAAAATATCGCGCCAAATCTGATCATATTAAAAGCTCCACACGCTCGGAGAAAGTTTAATATTATAGTGAAAAACAAAACTTGTAGTATATATATATATATTTTAATCTTATTTAATCATTCTTATTATACGTCATAGATCTCATTATTACATATTATGAGCTACGTACCATATTGTTATATAGGTAAATAATTTTTAACGGTTTTAATTACTAAATGAGCTAATCTTTAAATTAAGATTTCATCAACATTAAAATACATGGTCTGCCACTAAACAAACTAAAGTTTCGCAAAGTCCAATAAATTTGTAATCCAACAATGTTATAATGCATTTAATGTTACCGAGCTTGTAAAAATTTAATTCAATTTTCTTGTTAAAAGCCAATGAGGAAAAATTTTGCCTATGTCTCCCTCCATATGTCACGATCATTATAGCCCTTAGTATATTCTAAATCCCTATAGCATGGATGGACTTTTTAAATTTTATTTAAACTTTAATTAAAATGACAAATTGTGCACTACTAGGATGGAAAGAAAATTTATATCATATGTTCCCAAAAGACAAATATTAAGAAATTGTGGGCTAAAGCAATAAGACAACCAAAATTGGCAAAATAACAATTTTTATATTTAAGGCTATGTGTACATCATCCCGGGTCACGCACCTCTAATATTTTCATGTGCGAATCATTTCTAACATGAGAAAACGTGCATGTCTGAGAGAACCTAGCAAGTTTTCGAAAGACATGTGAAGTACGCCAACCCGCACTTGGCTAACTTGGTGGACTACGGCCTGATCCCCCTCGCATTTCAATACGAATTCGGAAGGCCTGTGCCCAGCAGTGGGACGTTAAAAAGGGCTGAATTATGGAACACAACAACAGCATTATATTTATTAGTTAGTTATATATTTTTCTTTTAACACTGAGTGAGATTAGTGCCCTCTGCTAGTACACTTGAAATCTAATTCACGTTCCGATTATGCATCAGATAGCACACTTCGGCATTCTGCGGGCATTATGCTCTATAATTGGAAAACACGGATAATTTTTAATGAAACGCTTCTAGAAATAATGACGACGTCATAAAATATAAACAGGAGAAAATTATATATATGTATGTACAGTTTACGAACGAATGATCCTCAAGGGAGAGTGTCAATCGTACGTGCCAGCTGTCACTTGCTACTGTCATCAATGCAATGTCAATTGTCATGACACATGAAGACGTATGTCGTTGTCGATCATTTGTCGATTATCGTATTCATTATTCACATTTCTCAGTTCACACTAATTAAAACGTAGTGGTTATGTACAATCTCTTTGATATTAATATTTATTACATGCTGTGTTTAATGTAAATTGTAAATCTTGTAAACACGTTTTATAGTGAAAAGTTGTGAACGTCGTTAGCTTTTGTTTGAAGTCAAATTTTATAATAACATTAGCTCACAACAGTAAAAAATATAAGTTTATTTTTCAAATCATTACCAATTCTACGTAAAAATGACTTTTATACCTAATTGGGAAGAATTTGAAAAATCAGCAGAAATGTTATATTTGAGAGATCCTTTAAATACTCGTTACAGTGTAAAGTATTCTCATTCAAAAGGGATATTTTTAGTTAAGATAACTGACAATAAAAAGGTATAGTAATATTTTACTATTAGAAATAGGCTTTTAATAGTTTTTCTTAACGTAATATTTAAATTTCATATTCCAAGTAATGTTGTTTTTATTCAATTTATTTTTTATTTACTGTAGCATATTTTTTCCTAATTGTTAATAAAACAAAACATTATTGATGTTTTCCTTTAACACCAAACAGTTTTTTTTTATTTTACAGTGTCTTCAATACAAAACAGAGGTACAACAAGATGTGAGAAAAATTGATAAGTTTATAACAAATTTAATAAGACACATGGCTTCTAATGATAATTAATTATTCAAATAAATTATTATATTAAAGTGGTTTTTATATTTTATTCATTTTAAAATGAATACTATAAAAGTTTATAAATCTTTAAAAGGCAAATTAATATGTCCTATATTCACTCCCTTAAAGGGTTGATTTCTGGGTTGATCGTGAGATTTCAAAGAATCTTATTTTATTAAAAAGAATTTTCCTTTTAATTTTCTTCTATACAAAATTTGTCCTGTCAATAACGAAATAAAAAAAAAACAATTTGATGCAGTCAATCGAAAGTTATGTGTGGATATACATTTTGACGATTATGTGTACATACATATTTATTTATATAGATAGATAAGGTACCATGTCTATAAAAAACATTGGTTTTCTTTAAACATAGTATAGTTTAGTTAACATAATAATAGGTATTATTTTAAATGAGAAGACTTGAAAGTTGAATATATATTGATTTATTTTTATTTATTAGCTTTTCAAAGGAAACAAACAGTACAATAAATAATTACTTACATTATAAAACAAGTAATCCTAAAACCAACTAAGTTCCCACAGATATCTGATACATAATAAAAGCTTACCACCACAATGATATACTTATAAAAATTTTGATTATAAAAATAACTGAATGGTACCATATAATAAATCATTAAGTACTTATGCAATTAAAAGTAATAGGTAATAACCTATAATAAATTAAAAACTACCTATTATAAATTAAGTTTTACAATATATTTTTTTATAACTATTATATTTAGGGTGAAAGATATCTAATTCACTATACTTATTTTAACTCAGACACTTGACACTCTGACATCCCGACACTGCGACACTCAAGGCTCCGACACTGGACACCGACACTCAGACACTCCACACATGACCCTCCGACACGCTTGACACTCTGACACTCCGACACTACGGCACATTGCGACACTCGACACTGACATCCCGAAACTGCGACACTCCGACACTACGACAGTAGACCCTCCGTCACACTGAGCCCCGGGAGATCTCTTCCATTTATATCAGCCCTTTGTATTCTATTTTTTTTCCAATAAAAAAATCTGTATCTAAAATGGGGAAGAATTTTGTTTTGTTCTCCCGCCAGATGTCGCGATCACTATAGACCTTAGTATATTGTAAATCTTAACGTAGATGGACTTTTTCATTGTATTTAAAATTTAATTAAAATGACAAATTGTGCAGTGCTTTTTACGTTTGGCTAGGTTGTAATAGGGTACTTGCTGTCTACCCCAACGTGCGTTCACCTTGTCGTGGTGGGGGGGGCTCAGTAGTGCCCGGCAATCCAAACGGGCCCGAAGCTAAGAAACGCACAGGGAGGTTGCCCTCTTCGGGGTGCGGTGTACCTTGCGGGTTGCTCCTGGTACTTCTCTGATAGCAGAGTGGACCTTGGAGCAACCCCATGGTTGTGGTGGTCTGCTTCGGCAGACCTGCCGTCGGGGCGTCGTAGTTGAATGCGTAAGCGATCCTGCGACGCCCCATTAAGACGGGGGATGGTTTTGTTGGGTTTTAGTGGGTAGTACTGGCTGTATTACGCCGGTGAGTCCCACGCGTCGTGCGTAAATGCATTTCCCAACGTTAAAAAAAAGGGTACTTGCTGTGACAGCGGTCGCGGGTTCGAGTTCCGCTGGGGGCATTCATTTGTGTGATGAACGCGAATGTTTGTACTGCAGTCATGGGTGTTTATGATAAGATACAAATTTTTGTTTTATTATTAAAAAAAAATGTAACAATTTCAAATTTTCAAATTGAAATTTGAATACTTGAAAATTACATAATGTTAACTTTTATTTTAGTTTTATTTTCGCTCACTAATGTAAACTATTATTATAAGGTTATTATGTTGCCTTATTAGAATGCTGTGTTGCTTATAATTTGGGCATCATTTAGTGTAGATCTTCTTTTGTTTATTTACATGTACAATAATTGTAATAATGTATGCTCTGTTAGTGAGGAATAAATAAATAAGTAAGTGAGTAAGTAAGTCAGTAAGTGCATAGCCTATATCGATGGAATATCTTGTTCTTATGAGCGTATTTGGTGGGCATACGTTGTTAGCAAGAAAGTCAACTGCGTTATATTAGGATGGTAGAAACCCATTTCATTTGTGAAAATGTTGCCTATAATTTATTTATGTGTGAAATATTACAGAACTCTGTAATTTTCGTCACAGTAATTCTAAAAGGAAGGATTCAATCTAGACATAAAAAGAGAACAAAATACTATGTTTACGTCCCGGCCCACAAAAACATGGAAGGAAAAGACTCAATAAAATCCTTCTATTGTACATGCAAAAATGGGGCTCGAACTGTAGGCTTTTTGTTGCACTCACATAGCAACTATTATTTTGTATTTAGAAATGCGAGACATATTTATAAAATTTGACAGTACCGATGAAGAATCCTCACGGATATAAACGTCAATAAAGTCACCAGTGTTGGGTTGCATATAATCATACTTCGAAAAACAATGAAACTATTTTTCCGTGAATGTACTCGTGAACCCCTATCTCTGGCTTTATGTTGATTCATGAGTCAGTCGTCCTGACTGACTGGTGAATCAACACACAGCCTAAACATCACATGTTCCTCACCTTCTCAATTCTTTCTTTAGCTGTTCTAACTTCCAGGTAAAAATACATTACACAGGTAAGATATGAACACAATAGAAGCAAAAAACCAGGTTCAAGAGAGATATCACAAGAAATTGCTTAACCTCAGACTGAATGTAAATAGATTATACATGTAGCGCCCTCTTTACGAGAAATCTTTCTCATTACTTCACTCTAGATCGTAGATCCAAACGTGATGCTATGATATTAGTTAAAAACGCAAAAAGATTTTTTAATACCCAATAATAACAATTTTGTGTTCTTGTTCCTACCTTCTAAAAATACTTTACAGGTCATATATAACTTATATTTAAATACTTTATTTAGATTTTGATTTAGATTGAAGCTTCAACGATGATTACTTTGAATAAACAGAAGTTTATACATATATTGGTGTTAACATACGTATTGAGAATTAAAATTTATATTGTGTGTAAAACAATCGATAATACATAACCGATTAATAAGTATTATTGATGATCTGTACCATTATCAATTTTCGACAGATCCTAGAAGTGTCAAATATGTTGATGGACATTGGACATGTTATTTTACTGTCATGAAGTGTGAAACATAAATAAAGCGTATTAGTTTTCTATAAATCATGACTTAATACTCAAGTCTAAAATGCTAAAATGAAATAATACATTTAAAAACGTAACTGCCACTTACATATTTCTTTTTAATTAATGACATTATGGATGGTTTAATTCACGCGGCATTGGAAGCAGAGGCAAGTGTTATAATAATTTTACGTACTGTTTTTTGACAAAATAGTTATTTATTTTTCATATTTATACAATTAAATACTTTTGTTTAAATTATAGGTAATACTTAACCGGGCGAAACATGTGAAAACAAACTTAACACAATTTGACAGTGGTGTCTCAGATCATAAAATGACTTGGACTCATCAGAAGATGCACCTAGCGGAATCTGTTGATGACTCTAGGATGAAGTTTCAAAGAAATTCTGTCAACTCTGCTGCTAAAAGCTCAGAAAAGTTTGATTTATTTAAAAAACTCCATGAACTCTACAATGAGCTTAGCAGAGATGAATCTTCACAAGCTAACTATGTAAGATTATGTGATAATTTTAAGAATTATTAAAAACTAATAACATAAAAGTTATAAGTAATGATATTTTTTTATATGATATAATTTAATTAATGAAATAGTTTATTAAAATAGATATTAAATTTTTATCAATAATGTAATTTTAGGTCAATGATTTTTTTATATCAAGTAATAGACATATCTATTTATATTGCATAAGAAATATTTTTTTGTAGTTGTTACTTCATTACAAAATATCAAAGCATAAAATAAATGAGTTCTATTTTATAAATCAGAAATAAATCTCATACTTATGTTTATTTTATCTTATGTTACTATATTACAGCAAGGGCTAAAGACCACCTCATACTTATTGGAAAAATTATTAGCTACATATAATCTAAACACATTAATAATTAATTTATACCCAGGAAATAAGGGGTACTCTCTTTCACTTAAAGTTAATGGGAATACACAGTATATTCAACCTCCTGATGCAAATGTGAGTAAATGTTAATAAAATGTTGAGGATTATTTAAAAAAAACTTAATGTTTTGTAAATTTTAATAATACTTATAACTATTTTGCTCAAAATATTTAGTTTTAACATTAATTTTTTAGGCTTCATCAAGTCAAGATGAGACTTTAATAGAGACACCTAGATGGCCCTATGAAGAAGAAGAACTTCTTAGTTACATAGATAATGAAGAACTACCAGTGGTGCTTTTGGATTTACTAGAGTCAGAACATTCTTGTCTTTTTTACTCAGGTTGCATTATAGCCCAAATTAGAGATTATAGGCAAGCCTATCCAAGTTTTGTATGTGATACACATCATGTCCTCCTAAGGCCTACTAACCAGGTATGTGTAAAAAATTCATGATAACAATAATAATCTTTGACAATATCATGTCACAGTAATACACATGATAATTAAAAAGGAACTAAGTACTAACTTAGATAATATATTTTAAAGACAAATAGTTAATTTGTAATACTTAATTAAATACTTTTTAATTATGAGCTTTGGTTTTGAGACTTTCATCACTTTTCTTCTTGGTATTAATACCAAAATACGGCCATTCTTGTTATATATAAATATTTAAAGACATGTTTAGCTTAGTTTGTAGTATCAGCTGTGTCAGCAGTCGCATGTTCGAGTCCCGCTGGGGGCATTCATTTGTGTGATGAGCACAAATGTTTGTACTCCAGTCATGGGTGTTTATATACTTATAATATGTTTGTATTTAATATATATATTTGTTTTATATGTGTAGTGTATCTGGTATCCATAACACAAGCCTCATAGTTTACCATGGAAATAGATGGTGCTGTGTGTTAATGTCCCAACATATTATAATATATTTAGTGAACATTAAGTTTGTATGTAGATATTTTTTTTTTAATTTCTCTATTTTTGCTATTAAAATGAATATAATTTTCCTATGCATTTTTTTGTGTGATGGATGGAGAGAATATTGTAATTTTTGACCTGTCTATACTTGATGACCAAGTAATAATATTAATACAAACATAAGCATAGGAATTAAATTTGCATTCTATTTGTAGTAGGATGTGCTATTCTGAGATATATTTTGCATAAACATTGTAATGGTATTTATTCTAAAGGCAGTAATAACTATTTTATAACAATTGTAGAGTATAATAACTGATGCCATGTGCATTGGTGGGCGCTGCGGGTGGGTAGGAGAAGAAAGAGGTGCATTAGAAGCCGTAGAAGCCGCTCTGGTCCATGCAGCTGCACCTCCTCTATGCTTGGAACCTAGGCCTGCAGTGGGATTGTTAGCAGCTAGATTGCATGCATCACCTAGATTGTTTAACACCCCACGGATACGAAGGCAAGCTAGGAGATTTTCCCAGGTAAATAATAAACTTAAATACTATGACAAAAACAATGAAGAAATTTAGAGGTACTCAATTTTGTTGATCACCTAATTATACTTCTAGAAAGTATATCTTAATAATGGAGAGTGCCAATTATCATACTCAATGTGACACAAATATGTATTTTATTTAATGGAGATCAATTTCAAAAGAAAATTAGCATCATTTAGTATCTATAATAATTAAAAAAATGATCATGAATGAATAAAATGATCATGAAAGTTATTATTAGTTCTTTACAAATTAGTTTGTTTTATATTTAATTGCAAATTAGTTAAATTCGAAAATTACTACTGAAAAAACTAAATACAGAAAATATATTATTAGCTCACATTCATACTTTCTACAAATATCTATACTAATATCATAAAGAGGCAGAGTTTGTTCGATTATATGGTTTTTTTTGAATGCGCTATTTTCAGGAACTACTAATCTGATTTGAATAATTCTCTTTGCACTAGATAGCCTGTTTATTGAGGAAGGCTATAAGGCTAGATATCATCTATACATATAATAAAATTCTGAATCAAATCTGTACAATCAATATTTTTTGGAAAATCTTTTTGAAATAGCCATTATTGTCGATACAGAGATCGAATCTACAGTTTTTAGAATTTTGTCTGTCTGTCTGTGACCGCATCACCGAAAAACCACTGGACAGATTTTGATGAAATTTGGTATGATGATAGCTGGTTGTCCGGGTTAATATTTAGGATACTTTTTACTGCGGGAAAATATCACATCTCCGATTATGAGAAATCTCTACTAACTGTTAAAACATACCGAGGGACGAACCCAAGCGCGGCGTGGGTGAGTCGCTAGTGGTTTCATGTTTGTACAAGGATATAATTCAGAATCACGATATTTTTTCACTATCAGCGTTACATAAAATGCTCCATAATTTATAGTCTTTAATTTTTAATTTACTATAACAAAGTACAAGATCTATTTCAGATTTAATATTGATGGAAAATATATAAGTAATATTTAACTTGTGGCATCTTTTCTTTAAGGTGGCTGTGAATAGAAAGAGGAAACTGGACCAGTTTACTCATTATCATGGGTTGGAGCTGCTGGAATTGATTCATCGTCAGAGAGCAAAAAATAGTAGGCAATCAGTTCCTCATACACGTCTCACATCCAAGTATCCTAAAAAACCACCAGAGGTAAATAAAAAAAATTGCTCAATATATTACTAATATGTATGTATAAACTAACTTCTTCTAATTTCTTTATCTTTCAATACCATTAAAAAATGAATAATATTTATTAGTGAAATAAAATGGTATCTTTATATTATTATTAAAGTTAATAAAGTTTTTTGTATTATATTTATGATTTTTCACAAATATCATTCAAATGAAATACTTTCGACTATACTCTTGAAATAGCTAAGCTAGCTAACCTATGTATGTAGTAGTTAAGTTAGTTTGTTATGAGTTCACAATTAATTTTTAAAAATAACACTGAACAGGTCTTCAAGCCAATCGAACCTCCCAGAATGGAGCCACTACCGTTGGCCCTTCCTTCTGAACCAAGCGGGCCCCTACGCTTAGCTAGAGCGTATGAGAGACCTCGACCAACACCGGACTGCCAGCCACAATTAGTAGAGGAATATATATTGGAAACAGAGAAAACATCACCCCACGCTAGCGCTGGCTTCTTCCATATAAAGCTGTCGATATTACAAAGGCCGTCCGATCAAGAGTTCCTAGGCGAATTGTATGTGGATAGAGATCATGTTGAAGGGGAACGGAATGGTGCTGCTTGTAGGTTTACTTTGGGTGAGTTGAAAATAATACTTAGTTGTTACTAAAATAAACTGAAGTGTTAGCCCAGTGGTAACGTGCTCGCTGCAAAACCAGTGATGCGAGTTCAAACCCCGCGTCTCGCACCTCTGATATTTTCATGTAGGAATCCTTTCCAACATGGCAACCATTCACCGTACAGCGGAGGGAAATGTGAGATCGGGAAAAACATGTATTTCTGAGAGAATGTTACCAGTTTTTGAAAGATATGTGAAGTCCGCCAACCCGCACTTGGCCAGCGTGGTGGACTATTGCCCGATCCCCCTCGTATTGAAGGGAGGCCCTTGTCCAGTAGTGGGTTAAAAAGCGCTGATTCAGATGAGATAGTAAGATGATGAAAGTTATAGTACACAAACAAGGCTTTGAGCAAAAAGAAATAGGGATGTAAAACGTATTTATTTGCTTTTGATCTCTAGATCTCTTTATTATCATGGGTTGTTTTTTAAATATCTAGGCTTATCTAAAACATATACAATTATTATAATATGTCTTATATACTTCATTAAATCTAATAAAATTATTTATCATTGTATTGATTCAATACAAATACTCCCTAGGAATTCACGAAATACTTAATTTCTAGAAATCATTTCGACGATGACGACGTTTTTGTTAATATTTTTTTATTTATTTTCTCAGGATCACGACTCCAAGCTAATAAATACATCCAGCAGTTTACAGAAATTTTCACAGAAGAAGGCCGAAAATCAGTTAGAATAAAGCACATAGTTCCTGGACAACTTCCTAGAGTCTCTTTTACTGGAGGGATGAGAGAAATTGTAAGTGTTTTTATTTTTATTTTTTAATATTAGGTTGTAATCTTCAGCTCCGCACATATTTTAACTTATTAATTTTCTTAGTTTTTGTATAGTATTTATATGTAATAATCAATTCTAAAAAATCTAATTTTTCCTCTCTCTTATATTAGAATAGATTGAGTGTGTATGTTTGTTACTCCTTAGGTTTAATGTTGAAACGGCTGGCAGATTTGCATAAGATCTAGTATAAAAAATGACTTGGAGTAACATATAAATTAACGTTTGGTACTTAGGGAAGTATCTAAGCAAAGCCGTAATATGTTATTATGTATATACATATTTGTTTTGTAGCAGGGTCAGCAATTGCTGCTACAACAGCGTACGGCGCAAGCGAGCAGCTCTACAGTACAAACCCATGCAACTACAGTGCCTGTAGTGTAAGTACAAAAAAATTTGTTACTTAACGATGGTAGATTTTACAAAAATTGTGCATATAAAATGTATCAATCATAAATTTTGAATAAATTAGTAGAAATATTTACATGTAATGTGCAATTTTTTATATAATTATAGAAAAAGCGGTTATTATATTAATTTATGTTTTTGTAGAACTTCTGCCATAGCAGCGACTCCCAATCCTCATACAAATGCGCGGCAGCTACCCATACTGGTAAATTATACTTGCTTATTATTTTGAATAAAACAATGTTATATGCACAATCAGAATAATAACATGTGTAATATAAAATAAATAAAAAAAAAGTAAGTAAACATGATAACTAACAATCAAAGTTAACACACAAAAATCAAAACGAAGTAAACAGTAAAATTATAAAAATTATATATCGACATCTGTTGTGTATCGAGTTTTAAAAGAATATTTTAATTTACATTCTTTATACTATTTATCAATACTTTGAGATATGCACTTCATTTGAAAATAATTTAGATGGCAGTCGGTTCAAAGGTCGATATAAAATATTAATTATTATAACACTAATAAGTTACCATTTAATAGCAGGCACAGCTCCAGCAGGTAGGCAATGTGGGGGGTGTTACCGCTGTAGGTACAGTAGTGGGCACAGTGGGAACGGTGGGCACAGTGGGAACAGTGGGCACAGTGGGAACGGTGGGAGCGGTTGGGAACGTCGGTAACGTGGTCAACGTGGCGGCCGGTGTGTCGGGGGCGGCGGTAGAGGCAGCGCTGAAGCAACAACCCTCACCTACACCGCGATTGTCGCCGCAGGTATGTAATAGTACAGTATAAAAATCTATTAAGTAGGTAATTGCTTTTGATTGAATCAGCGATCCCTCCAAATGAAAGGCTTGTTGAAAAATGACCAATTTTTATGGTGGGCGTTTCAATTATTCCCGCCAATCCTTAAGGAGTCTCCCAATGGGGAGAATTGAGGGGAAAAGGGAGCGCCTTACTGCTCTATCACTTTCTTTAATGTTCGTTGACTGTATTAGTAGACTTTGGGTATTAGTATATGGTAGCATGTGGATCAATTGTAATACTATATAATACAGATTTATCTTTTATATTAGCGCTGTGCAGATTTACTAATAGTAAGTCGTTACTCGTAGGACTAACTTCGGCCGATAAATATTCTATTTAGTTTGAGTACAATGTTTAGAAAAACACAGATCCAAAGTAAATAAATTCAATAATAAGAAATGTTGTTGTTACTCTAGTGTCGTCGTTAGTTCCGAAAACAGCTGTAAGAGAATTCTTATAGCTGCAAAGTTGTTTAAAACGTTTTGTATTGGGAAATCATATATGTAATTATGTAACGTCATTTTATTTTATTTGTCGTAATGGTTTTTACTGTTAGGGGCCAATAATGAAGTACGTAAGTACATTTTGACCATTTTTGATCCCCCTATGAGTAAGTAAGAGCACAAAAGATTTCTCGGACCCCCCTCTCCTCCTGTTACGTAAAGTTTTATATGGTTTTAGAAAAAGATCAATAACATACATAAATTGCACTAAAACTCAAAATTTGACGCTAATTAAATATTTTTATTCAGAGTTGTTTTGCCCAACGCTTAGCTATCAAATCACTCTATGCTAGAAATAGCATCGCACATTCTGAATTATAAAATATTACGTAAAAATAGCTTTTACCGAGTTATGGGCATGTAGAGGTTTTGAAACCCCTTTCCTCCTTAGGACCCTTACGTAATTAATAAATGGCCTTTCACGACAAATAAAATAAAGCACGTAGATATCTTTATGTACGTATCTATTACACAAACACTTTCGAGTGCGAAGTCAATGTTACAAGTCATTAAATATAGTAGAAAGATAAGTGTAATGATGTTAGTTATTATGAATGATTATACTTTTTCTTCATGTGCAGGTTCTAACAGTTACTTCTTAATTATTGTTGTATTAGTTTTTGTTATTTGTATTAAGTTCCATATTGTGTTACGTTTTACGCTATTTGCTCATATTTAGTTTTTTTTAAAGATTGTTTTATTTATTTTTTAAATTTGCTCTTCTAATTATATGAATGTTTGAAGTTAGAATTATGGTACAACCTCTACTTATAATGTGTAAGGAAAATTCTCTTAGGCCCATTGTTTGTATCAAATAACTTAAAAATATAATATACAATTTCAAATTAATAAATATTTATCCACAGGCGTCGACGAATCAGTTACTAGCTCAACAGCTCACAAACCCACCGCAACCTTTAAACCCGCAGAAAATGCAGTCCGCAATCATTCACATACAGCATCCGATTATGTCTTCGGCCGTAACCCCTCAGGTGAGATAAATATATTTTACAAAATCTGTGCATACAATTTAATTGTAAAGAAGCCAGTTTTATAGATATTTAAAAAGAATCTTAACATTTTGGTCTGTAATATTTAAATAAGGTAATTTATTGAATTGTTTTTATAATATTTGGCTGTCTGGATCACTCAACGGCCGGAGTATGTATTTTATTTTACATCCGGCTTTATTTGCTTTGAAAGGTTGTTTCATCAATCGGTTAAGGTGGCCCAAAGTAAGCTCGAGCTTTGTATATATAATATATAATAATAGGCAATATATAATATTATAATAATAGGCAATATGCGTATTTTTTATACAATAGCTAACATCGTTATATAATTATAAAAAAATATCCAGCTCTAAAAAACTAAATTAAGTATTAAAAAAATATATCATATCGATAAGGATACATTGAACGCCAGCCATTTGCGTGCTTGGCGTGACGTCAAAGTATCATACATAGAGAAATTACGACTTTAGTTTGTAGCGACAAAATCGCTAATCGCTCTGTTATGATAGTACTCTGACATCATATCGGTCTGACAAAATTGGCGTGCGTTTCAACGAGTTTGAATTTCCCACCTATATTTGCACTTTTTAATTATTATTTTCTTAATCAAAAAGAAATTATATTAAAAATATTAATATAGGCTTAATTCAAAAGTAATAAAGATTATAAAAATCAAAATATTTCACCTTTTTTTAAATCACACGTATATTCCGTATTGTGGATTAGTGATGGAGTGATATTACTGGCAATATTTCGTTTTGTTAAATGATAAGCAGATGATGCTTTACGTCAAATATAAGTAATTATTATCGTTGCCTGGTTAAAAAAAAGTTATAAATATTAAACTTCTAATCCTGTTTCAGGTGCAAAGTATACAATATACAAATACAACGACAACACAACAGAAGGCGACGATCACTAAGCCGAGATCAACAAACCCGGCCATTAACGCGCTCGTCACTAGTCTTATGAACTCAGCTCAACAATTCCAACAGGGTTAGTATATTTTTAGTACATTAGTTAAATTTGAAGGATAAAAATATGTATCTATAGTAAATCTGTATTCTTATTTTACGAAAATTAACTTAATTATGAAATCTACGGCCTTTCATTTAATAAAAAGAACGAGAAACATCATGACACCCTAGATTTTTTAATTTCGTACCATAAAGTGTTTTTAACGCATATTAGCGACATACCCTCGTTTCGCTCGGGTGCATCCCTAGATATGAATAATTCTGTAATGCGAACGAAATATGAACCTTCAACAATCATTGTCATATTGAAATATGCCATAAACTTCAATGAAGAAAAAAAAATAGTATAACTAAACTTTCCTCATGAATCACTCCGTCCATTGCAACATGTATTATCTAAAAAAATGAAATGAACGTTACAATAATATCAAGCGAGAAAAAATTATTCATTTTTCGTATTTCAACCACTAATAAAATAGAAGATAATATAACTAATAACATAACATTATATTACCCAGCGGCGAGTCAAAACGCAGCGAAAGCAGTGAGCACAGCCAACAGCAACGCGACGATCCTCAACCTGCTGAACAGCGCGCCGGCGGCCATGACGCACGCGCACGCGCACGCGCACGCGCACGCGCCGGCGCCCGACGACGCGCACAAGCTGCTGGCGCGCACCGTGTCTCTCGCCGGCGCGCGCCTCGTCGCCGCCTCCGCCGCCGCCAGCGCCGCGCACACGCTGCCCACTTATACGCAACAGGTTCGAATAATTTTTCTTTTTAAAATAGGTTGTTTTTTACGAAATTCTTTTATCGACTTTAAAATAGAAGTGATTGAAGGTAACTAATCTATCCTTAATATTGAAAAAAAAATCATGGGACGTCCTCGGGAATTATAATAATATTTCATTAAGAATAATCATGACAAGTTCTTCAAAATTGGCAAAAAAATGATACAAAGTACGCCACAATTGAGTATATATATATTTCTTTTATCGATCAAAAATGGTACTGCAATGGGATTACAGGGACAAAGAAAATTCCTTAATAATTGCAAAGTATGTGAAGTTTTTTGGTGATGAAATGAGTATGGCTGCAATTAATTACAAAATTCGAACGAGACTTTTCTCCTGAAAAGTTGAGGATCGAGTATTTTTATCGATTTACCAACGAACACTAGCTTCACTATAAATATTTAATCGTCTCATTCATAACAGGTGATGACGGGCTACACGCGCGACAACGAGTCAACAAACGTGTCGAGTAGCGAGAGCGCCTTGCTGGAGCGGCTGATGGGCCCCGAGCCGGCGGCCGCGCCGCCCGCGCCGGCGCAGCAGCAGCCACAACCTGTGTGCCATTTGCAGGTATTTGTTTTTGTATTTCACTCTAATTTGCAGGTTAATCCAATAGTTTCTCAGATTTACGCGAATATTTGACATTTTAAATAAAACTATCTTTTCGGTATTTACCAGGTAATAGTTTACCGACTTCAATATGCAAGTAATTGTTTACTGACTTCGATTTGCTGGTATTTGATTACAGACTTCGATTTGCTGGCATTTGGTTATTGACTTCGATTTGCAGGTACATATTTGATTACCGACTTCGATTTGCTGGTATTTGGTTACTGACTTCAATTTGCCGATACTTCTTTACCTTCTTCTTTGAAGTTCCAAATTCGAGTGTTCTTTTTCCGAGTGTTTGGTGGGGTCGGTGTGTTTGTGACCACCTATATTTTTACGGAGATATTACGAAATATTATAATATAAATTTAAATAATTAGTGATTGTGAACTGAAATTATTTATTATATTTTAACATGTCTTTATTGGCTTTATTTTAAAACGATTTTATTATTGTAACAATTCGAAACTTTATAAAGCTGACCTTATTATGAAGCTAGGAAATATAAGATAAAACACTTTATTAGCTACTAATAAGCCTCTCAAGTTTACTTATAAAACGTATTTTTGAAACCAAGTTCCTTATCGTATGTTATACTCGGCACACTTGGCGAATGAGAGCCAGACGGAAAATGTATAATATTTCGATTGTCACGACTCTTGACAATTATTGTAACCAGATATTATGAGCTATATTCGGCCCATAATATGTTGTCATCATAAATACTAGGTATTCTAATCTCGACAATTTTTAGTTTTTTAAGTCTTCGGGTATTCGCCCTATTAAAATTTGGAGTAAAAACTTTACCCTTCTCTCTTTCTACGTGTGGGACAGACAGTACTTTCTAGACAGTACTTTCTAGGTAATTTTGTATTGATATAAAATTTTATAAAACTAAATATATTTTAAATGTTTGATAAAAATAATTGACTAAAATGACTATCATAGTATGAAATTGTAAGATGTGCTCTAAAAGAGACATTAAGACAAATGCCAAATACAAATCATCGTCAAACGACTATTTCTGAACTGCCATAAATCAAACAAATAACAACAAACCACTGTATCCACAGGGTCTAAGCCTAACCTCCCTCCAAGGGCTCCAAGGTATCCAAGGGCTCCAGAACGTGCAAGTTCAAATCCCAGGGCTGTCGGCGCCCATCTCGCTGTCGCTGAACGTGTCGGGCGCGCCCAGCGGCCTGCTGGTGTCCGTGCCGCCGACCACCTCCGTGGTTCTCACTAACCAGCCCTCAGTGCTGTCTCTGCCTATAGGTGAGTCGGATAAACATCGGTCGAGATTTATTTTATCACTACATAGTATAAAACAAAGTCGCTTCCCGCTTCTGTCTGTCTGTCCGCTGTCTGTGTTTATATTTTAAATGAAACAATAACATTAATGTCTCTACCACCCAGCGCAACTGGTGTCCGGCGGCGTGAAGGGCGGCGTGCGTGGCGGCGCCGTGCAGGTGGTGCGCGCGCCGCGCCCCGCGCGCCCCGCGCGCCCCGCGCCGCCCGCGCCGCGCGCCGCGCCCGGTACGCGCCGTATATTCATATACATTCATACATACATATACACACATATTATATACTAGCGACTCACCCTCGCATGAGTTCGTCCCTAGGTTACTTCACAATACAAAATTTCATCCCCATTTTCACCCCCTTAAGGGATGATTTCCGGATTAAAAATTAAATGTGGCACTCGGAGACTGCCGCGGTAAAGCTATTGCATAGCATTTTTTATCAACTTATGCAAGCTTATTTTAATATCAAAAATTTTGGTTATCTTTACAGCAGTATTATATATAAATTAACAAAACAAAAAATAATACTGCATTTGTGATAATAATAATACAATGAATGTATATAGAGTACTAATTCATTTCCTTTCACTATTTTTTCGTGACTTTCTTCATTAATAAATGCACTATGTTTATTCATATTTAAAACACTTTGTACACAAATTATACGAGTACAGATATTCACTGTTGTACATAGATGATAAATACCTATATACTTTCTCACAAACAGCTGATTACGGTAGTTTTCCAATACAACCAATGCCACCTAAAGGCGGGTTGCTGAACTAAAGAGACAAGCGTGATATTTCAAAAAGTCATTAAAAGTTCTGATATTTATCGATAGATGGAAAAACTAAAAAGTATCACCGCTGTGCCGGTCGGAGTAGGGGTGTCAGGTTTTTTTCGTTACGGAATTTCTGGATTCGGTCCCCACGATCAAGGCCCGCGATAGAAGCTATGCAATAGCTTAAAAATAACTTATGTCGTTCCCAGGGTCTCAAACTATTTTCTTACCACATTTCATCTTAATCGGTTCGGTAGATCCATAGATTACCCCCTACAACGTCACAAACTCACAAACTTTACCTCTTTATAATATTAGTATAGATTTGTACATAGTAATGCCCTTTTGACCGATTTCGGCCATTGCATCTATACTCATTAAGACAGCTAAATGCACAGGAGTTATTATAGTGCACAAATGTACGCGCCGACACAACACGCATTTTGTATTCCTTTTACTCTGAAAGTCGGATGGAACGATACCTCGATACAATCTATGTGAGTCAAGCGCAGGACCGTTGGCTTTACGTGCACTCCGTGACACGGGGGTAATCCTGTCAAATTTCCATCTATGGGCTACTAATAATATCTTAACAGAAAAACTCAATATTTAAACATGATCCTACTTGGGACTCGAACCCAGTTATCCGGATATGCATCCGTAAATGCTAGCCACTAGACCATCGAGGCAGTTCGGTTACGGATGATACGAGGTGGATAGCTTAGCTCTTTCATGGCTAACCTTTGTTCAATAAACAAACTTTTTGATACACATTTAATTCATTTTGTATAAATCATATTTCGTTAGTTTTTTCGACATCTAACGTTATCACTTATTCCTTTCTCATTTCTTATCTCACTTTATACTTTTTAACCATTGTATACATGAACCCACGTTGTATAGAGCACACATAAGCGGGAATTGAAGCTATATCTTGATATCTATTACACCGATTCAAATAAATCAAAGCTACTTAAATTCATCATGATTGCTATTGCTACCTTTATAAGGTTAGCATTTAGCGTAGATATTGTTACAATTAAGGCTATCGTTTCGGGCCAGTAAGGCCAGTAAAGCCACTGATGAGTAAGGTCTTATCGCTGTCGTTAAAAATTATTTGTCAGGGCTAATACGTTTAATATAATAATGATATTAAAATTGTTAACGTGGAACGAGCTTCAGGATTTAACTTTAAATAGTTGATAATAACCAAATAAATAAAATGTTGACTTATTCTTTAGCTCTTCTATTGAAGCACTAACATTCTTACAATAATCATGAATAGTGATAATTCGCGATGAAAAGCTCACATACAGTAAACATTCTATGTCCATTACACATTTCTAAAGAGTTCCCTGTGTTCTACACTAGGCGATAAGCGCCTCTTGCGGCGAATCCAAGTTCGATAATTTTAATTGTTTTATACCACTACATAGTATAAAACAAAGTCGCTTCCCGCTGTTTGTCTGTCCCTATGTGTGCTTAGATCTTCAAAACTACTCAACGGATTTTGATGCGGGTTTTTCTAATAGATAGAGCGATTCAAGAGGAAGGTTTTAGTATGTAATTTGTTAGGTTTTTGTGTTCATTGGCTTAAATATAACGATATTTGTTGGAGGTGTCGAAAAAAATGAGCCGTCTAGGAGCTTTCAACGAAAACGCTAAAACGAAAACCCTTTGAGATATAAGATAATAATGTATGGTGGAATTGTGTATCTTATATAGGTGTACAGAAAAGTCCGCGATGGTATATGTATATCTCTTAAGGATAACGTACTATATCCATTTTAATTTAAAACGTACCTAGGGACGAAGAGTGGTGAGTCGCTAGTAAATACATAAAGTACATGAGTATTAGTAATTTATGCAGAAACATGGTTTTTTTAATATCATATATTTTTAATATGTTGTTGCCCCCTTTTCCAGGTACGACCCAATTTATAACGCAGGCACAGGCACAGACGTTAAATGCGCATCAAGTGCGACGGAAATCGAATCCAGATAGTTCATAGTAAATGCTAAAATCCAACTCACTGCCGATATATTAGAATAAATTGTAAATAGTTGCATATATTAGATGAAATTTGTATAAATAAGTGATAAAGTGAAAGATTCAGCGTGCAATAATAAACTATTTGGCAGACTGTGGAAGATATGAACTTTCTCATCATTTGCTATCTTCTTATATAAACTTAAAATACGTAACGTTACCATGAGTTGTACTGAGACTGAAAGGACTGGTTCGACGCTAAGGTCGTGTCATACTGACATAATAACTGGCTAATAATAAATTAATACGTTTTTAATTCAATGAATTTAAATAACATTTTAATCGTGTGATCCATCCTTTATTTTATTATTTTCTTCGTTATTATATATATTAATATGATTATAATCATCTATGTATTATGCGAGTCACAAATAATTTATTATCGATATTTTATTTTATTGACATTTAACATGTGACGTGGCTAAATTTTAAGCGTTATTTAACTAATGTGGAGTGTTTTAGAGGCCCGATTATTGTAATTATTGAAAAAGATTTTATATCTTGTTAGAGATGATTGTAACCTATGTAAATAATAGTTTAATATTGAAATTGACGCGACGATTGTAAATACTGATATTTAAACAAATGAAATGCCTTCACTTTTGAATTACCTTGGTAATATTGTACTTAATGGAGAGAAAGTGTAATGGCCGTTGGCTAAGTTTGTTGTAGTTATTTTGTTTACGCTAAATCAGTATTAAAATGGCCGCTCGCGCAATTGTAATGAAATAGAAACAGTTTATTTGAATCGGCGATTTTTATATCAGAATGTTAGTATCTGAGTAGAACAAATTATATTACTGGTTGAAAATGTTCTTCTATAATGAAAGATAGCCTTAGGTCTTACCGATTCAAAAAATTGTTTTTATTCTGATGAAAAGAAGTACAATGTAATTAATATGTTGTGTAAATATGTACATATGTAAATTCAATTCATCACATTGGAAAGGATGATATGCTTCGAACGTTAAGTTTTGCTCTGTGTTCAATTAGTACCTATTGAATGCTACAGTGTTTGGGTTTTAGCTTTATAAAGGGATTGATACTAACGTATTAGGACAACTTCAGATTGTTTCTTTATATACACTATTTATATATCTTTATCAACGTGATCTAAACATCGAAGATTTGTATAAGCTCTTTAAAGTTAGTTTTGACATATTATGCGATCTAATTATGAACAAATTCAGCTATGAATGTTTATTTGAATTGATATTATTATAAATTAATCGAATAAGACTAAATACTACACTTTTTTAATGCAGCACTTAATATTATTAGAGTATTCAGATTAAGTACATATTATTATTATTTTTTTATTGGAAATAGTATTTTTTTCGCGCTGAGATGTTCGTTTTATATGTAATGAATGTATTGCTTTTTTGTACGGAATATGGTTTCTAAAACTTTCTGACTTGGAGTTCCGCGATTCATTTTTAAGAATCAACAAATTATAATACTTTTATATACGTTATATATGTATACGGTTTCATACGTTTATATATATATATATATATATATATATATATATATACGTTTTCATTCATATAATAATAATAATAAAATACATAAAACTGCCATCACATTTATAACTTTGTACACTATCTATGTTTTTATGCTATTCAAATATTGCAAATAGTGTTCAAATCTTATGTTAATAGTAATTAATAAGATGTACACCACCTGTAATTGTTAAGGAGGTCTACGTTTTGTTAGAGTACGTTTTTGTCGTTTTGTATTTGTTATCTATAGCCGTGATTTGTTAACTCTAGATCCTCAATCTAAAAGAATCTTTTCGGATAATTTAACGGATTAATTTTGATTTTTCGTTCCCGGTTTTGTCGAACCAAAACTAAAAACAAAATAAATCCGGTAAAAAATCCTAAAAGATAGTTTTATTTAAAATGTCAAATATTCGCGTAAATCTAAGAAAGTATTAAAAGAAATACATACAATTATTTCAACTCATGGGTCCCTCGCCGTACTTAGGATTTGTAAGTTTTCATATTAAAATGTGTACAACACATCTCTTGTAAGTCACCCTAAGACAGGAAGAAACCTATGAAAGTCTTTGTTTTTATAAAATGAACTACAAATAACCCTTTCTTTGCAGTCGGGTAACAAGAAAGTATAATAGTCTCTAACTGTACGATTATAAGAATACTTTCAAATTTCTATTGCAAATTAAAAAGGCGCTTTCATGACAGGTAAAGATAGTGTACAATTTTCAATATGAGTGATATTGTTATATCATATAACACATAAATAAATGACAAAAATGTGACCATCTACTCTGATACTAACATTTAGAGATCTTCATGATTTATTATTTGAATGTTTTTATATCGCGGTCGGTTTAAATTATGTTTTATGACCTTCAGACGATGCCTCTCTTTAAACTATCTAACTATGCGCTTTTATTGGCTGTATCGATTTTGTACGAGAATAGTTGCAGATATAAATCGTTTTCGTTTTAAACAATGGTAACACTATTTCGGTCATTAATCTATTATTGGCAAGTGTAAAATATTATTTTCTTACATTTTGTTTGATTTTAAAGTGCAAAGTGGACCCAATGGCTCTTAACATAAGGACTATAATCAGATAATAGCAAATAGTGTTAGCGTTAACTTGTATTGTACACGCGCACAATTTCTTTTATCGTATACGCCAATGATTAAAGCATGAGTGAAGAAAATAGCGAGAATTATATATATTTTTATACAATTACTGTATATACGCGTTATCGATATTGTATTGTATACTTATTTCAAATATCATAATTTTATGTTTTTAATTTGTTTGATGTGTGACATGTTACTGTTGACTTATCGATGGATGGACGTCTATGAATTATAAATATTTAAAATATCATAATCGATAGCTAATCGATTATATTGGTGGTCATAATTTGTTCGGGTGATTATGTATATATATATTTTTTTAATAATCTTAATTTAACATTGGTATACTTTCAGTAAATTTTCTAAATTGAATGCTTTTAATTGTTCATATTCGTCCATCGGTATCGTCTCCGTAGCTAAATCGTGCGAATTGTTGATCTCATTTGTTTATGGACATGTAGCTCAATATTTAGGGATTTTATGTAAAAACTCAGAACTTTATCCGATATATTAATAAATGTAAATGTCTATTATAAGTAATAAATTGTATATATATTTTTAAATAAAGATTTTTATACACATAATCCAATTTTGGTCACTCAGCTGTACAGGTTCCAGTGTCAACTGTTTTGATTTATAGCTCATTGTAAATATAGTAGTTGTTGTAAGCAATGTTACGCTTATGACGGTGTATAATAAAATTTATATGAATGCGTTGACTTGGATTTATGTATAAATTGATATTGTAAAGATTAACTCGAGTACGTTGTTCAGAGATGGACGTTTCGAACATGAATAAATAACTTTTACACAACGCTTGTTTTTTTTATTTTTTCTCTAAAAAACAAGTTTTACGAAGCCCTTTAAGTTTCGTACAAAAATTATCAATTTATAATTAACTAGCAGTACCCGCGGTTTCGCCCGCGCTAAAACTACAAAAAAATTCTAAAAAGGTAGTTTCATACAAACTTTCATCCTCTATTTTACCCTCTTATATGATGAATTTAGAAAAATGCTTAAACACGTATTTATTTAATTTTATTGAAGAGCACTAATACCAAGTTTTAAGTAATTCTGATCAAAAATATTTTTTGGACTGTATTATAAAATGTTTTCCCGTGGAAATTAGGTGAACTCCCGCGGTAAAAAGTACCCTATGTCACTCTCCAGCCCTCCAACTATCTCCACACAAAAAATCACGCCAATCCGTCACTCTGTTTCGACGTGAAAGAAGGACAAACAACACACTTTACAATATTAAGTATGGATTATTAAATTGCAAATATCAAGCCTATCTTCTTATTACGCTAACATTTGCGTCTTAGAATATAAATATGTATTAAGTTTTTACTTTTTACTTGTAAAACTTGGGAAGTCAAAAGCAAAACAACACATTGATTTGGTTAAAAAAGTATGCTTTTTATTTATTCTTTCAAATAGTCTTCATCTAAATTTTATAAGAACATTGGACACAATTGAAGCTTTTTACCGATAAATAAGTATAAATAATTTCATATTCACATAGATCGTCTTATTTTTACATACATTACATTTATTTAATATCAGTCCTCTCAAAAGGTCCATTCTCTCCCTGCAAATTAAAATTTAATATTTACACAGCGATAGGGATTCGCGTCTACCGTACGTACATACATCAACAATTAACAATTAATAGAGACTATTTACAAAATATATATCACACACACACGCGACCGTCCGTCGTCATTCACACACACCGATTTTACATTCATACGATTTGGCATATGGATGGCGTGACGTCACTAGCAGAGGTCGTCCCAAGCGAGCCACCAGGGCGCTTTGCAATCTTCACGCTTCCGTCGTCGCCTTTCCGCTCGGTCTGAGCGTTTCTTCACAAAACGCACGTTGTACGGGTCCTCAGCGAGCTCGGGGTATCGCGCGACATCGTGAACATATTCGCCCTCGTAGCCGGCCGCCGAACCCGCTTTCTGTATTTCGTCTAACTCTGCCGCTGACCAATCTAATGAGCCTCCTAGTCCAGCGCGCAACGCCTCCCTTTCTCTGTGCCAAGCCTTCCGCACTGCAGAAGCTCTAGCATGATGAAGAAGACGTTGTTTCTCTCTTTCAGCGCTCGTTCCGTAACGAAGGTTCACAATACTTGTTTGTCCGTGAATCTTGACATCTGCATAGGAACGACCGCCTTCAGCTACCTCGTGGAACGTTACATTTAACTTTCCTTGCATACGTTTCAGTTGTTGTTTATCGTCGGCCGCGCGCCACGTATCTTCTTTTACAAAATAAAACACATCTTGCTGGTCCCCATGAACTACGAAAGAGAACGGCAGTAAATGGGATCTATTAAAAACCGATGTATAAACGTCTCGATATATAGCGTTTGCGGATGGAACTGTTGTGACTACTGCACGTCCACGTGAATTACGTGAAATTAAAATACCACGGCCGAAAGGTGGTTCGGAATCAGAACCAATTCGTTTTGGTGCAAGGTTGAGGGCATCCGTTTTTAATGCAGACATTGCTGGTATAGAAAGACTTCTGAAATCAGCTATCCTCTTATTTGCCATGTGAGATAGGAAACCAGATTCAATGGTAACGCTTGGCAGTAACGACATTGCAGATGGTAGTCCTGGGCCACCGTCGACTGGTGCGGTTCCCCATACTGGCCGACCCCGTGGAATACTTGGTAGTATTGAGCCACCTGGCAATTCATCAGGATACAATTGCGGTGCCAGACTCTTGGTGTCATAGCCGAGAAGTTTTAGCCAAGATAAGTGATCTGTAAAATTAAATAAATAATTAAAATCGATAAGAATGTTAGAGAATTAATAGAATCTTCTTATATAATATTGACATATGTATTTAAGATAATAAATAAATAATTTACTGAATAACTGAGTAATGGTAAGTAATATATTAAGCACCACAACATTTACCTGTTGGTTTCTTATTTTGTGGTCGGACGTTAATTGGATCATTCCCATTGAATCTGTATAGATGCAGCTGAGTGGGATTATGTATTCTTTCAATTAGGTTTTCCCAAAGTGGAGACATCCATTGCCCAATGAGAGGATCATACACTTTTCCGTTTGCCATATGAACGAGGGATGTAACTTGATCTAATAACCCACCACAAAAATCTACTGGTAAATATAAATATGGATTGGAATCATAGACAATATGGCCATATGGAGATCTCATTATTTCACGAATGCCTTCTCCATATTGATTAAATACCATGACTGGTGTTCCACATTGATCTGTAGCAATGTAATACTTGTGTCGGGCAACCTACCAAAAATTAATAAGTGATAAGTTTTATTTACACTTTACAAATAAATTTAACTTTTAACTAACACTTAGATCGATTTTCACTAATTTACCTGAGTATAAATAAGATGTCCTCTGTCGTCATAAACCAGCGTCATGAATCTATTTTCTCTTGGTGAATAAATATGGCTAACCTCGTGTGGCTTTTCTTTATTAGTATAGAAAAATTGTGTGACATTTCCAAAATTATCTTTTCTCGTAGATAATCTGTAAAATTAAAGCATTTGTTATGATTATTTTATTTCACAAAAAATGAACTTAATTTATATTATAAGTACATGGAGTATGTACTATATACATTTGTATATAATATACTATATACCTGTCAAGATGGTCGTAGTAGTAACGGACGTCAAATCTGCCTCGTTTTGTAGCCCTTATCAATAATCCTTTAGCATTGTATTGGAACCGTTCCTCTCTGGCGTTTTGAGAAACGAGACCTCGGCTGTCGTAACGATATTGGCCTTCGCCGAATTTAATTATACGATCCATGTCATTGTATTCCATAGGGATAGTATTTCCCCTATACGTCAAGGAAAGCATGTTCCCATTATCATCATACCTAAAGCCCCATGGTTCCTGTGCTTCTACGCCAGTTAATTGACCATCGCAATCCCAAGTATAATTTTTTACATTAGTATATGTATTGACTCCAACATTTCGAGTGTGCGTTCGAGTTTGTGATATTCTACCGTGTCTGTCGTAAGAAAATTCCATCCTGAACACTTCCATCCTATGAATGTTAACAGTTATTTCTTTTTCAAGAAACTGTTCACTCAAAGTTCTTGAAAACATTGCAATACCATCGTATACAGAAGTTTCATTCCACTTTTGCTTAGAAACAGTAAATTGACCTAAAACTTCAGGAGCACCCGTTTTACTATTATATACTATGTGATGTGGTATAAGTGTCTGACCACCTATACGTCCTTGTACGGCCGTTGCCCTGTAGTTATTATCGTATTCGTAAATAATTTTTGCGTTGCTCAATCCTGTTTTTGCACCGTAGTCCAGCCTTTCTTCAACTAGTAATCCTCCAGCGTAAGTCGCTTCCCAACGGTAATCTACATCTCTATCCACATGTAATATTTCAGAGGGTAAACCACTATTTTCGGAGTAATGAATTTGAGTTTGACCGTCTCCGTGAATCACTTCTGATATTTTATTGGTAGTGAAGTAGCGATAAATAATGCGAGCGCCATCACCTGGGAAAACAGTTTGCAAAAGTTCTCCAGTATGAGAATAGTGTTGTAAATATTTCTTGGTAGACCCCGGTGGTGTGTACGTTACACGTAAAAAGCCTATTGAGGGTTGAACACTAAATGAATGATTACTTCCAGAAGGTAATATAACATGGGTCAATCCACCGTCTCCATCGTACTTATATTTAAAGTTTCTTTGACTAGCTAATGATATTCTAGAGACGAGATTTCCATCGTTGTAATAAATAAATTTAGTGCCATCTTGAGAGCTAGTTATTTCAGACAGCATGCCGTGAGGGTCATAACTATATGATTCTTCTGTGACGCCCCATTTCCACCCATTTATCCTATAAAATCTGTCGTATGATATATTGAGAGGCACACCAGCGCCATGAGGCGTAAAAGATAGTGGCAACCCAGCTACATCATATGCAATGGTAAACAAAGAAATCCGATCTGCATTGAAGAAAGTTTCTTTGCTCTTAAATTGATCAAACTCAATGATTAAAACTCGAGAATCGTTAACCCAAATTTCTCTATTAAGGGTTTGTTGAGGATTCCTCACATCACCAACTAATGTGTATAAGGAGTACATATTATTGATTAAGCCGTCTCCAAAGGTAGTAGTTTGATGTGACCACATATGAAGCATTTCAGCTTCAATAGGTAAAGCAGCTTCAAGTAAAGGATGCTTTGCAGCTGCAATGCTTTCGAATTTTCCTGACCATGGCGTATCAATAACTAAAGTATTGTTAGTAAACATACGGCCTTCTGTTATTTGCTTTCCGTTGTTAATGGTGATTTGTTTAAAGGACTGGCCATGCAAAACATATTCACATTTCTTTGAGACGCCTACTGGAATTGTACTTGTTGGATTTGAAACAGTTACAGCGAGACCATAATTTTTAGCGAGTCCCGAGGTAATATGAACTTGTTCCCCTGATGGCATTATAATTTTTGTAACACGACCAAGTTCATCATACGTGTAAATAACTGTATCACCAGCCTGTAAAGAAAATCATATATTATTTAAATAGTACTGAAAACGTAAATTATGTTATAAGTATTTTTTTTAATTCTCTTTTTAAAATCTTACCCCTGTTCGACTGTTAAGTAATCCACTGTTTGCATCGTAATCCAATTCTATTTCAGAAGTTCCTTTTTCCGTTATTTTTGTTAAATAACCAATTCCTGATATTTTAAGTTCGAGCTTATGATCTTGTGTGTTCTCAATAGAACTAACAATGTTACTGTAATCTCTTAATAGTTGAATTTTGTTGCCTGAAGCATCTGTTACCGTTGACAATTTGCCAAAACTAGTGTTCTTTGAATATAAGAAGGAATATCTAGTCTTTCCTGATGTTAAATCTTTTGTTGTTATATGTTGACCGTAACGATTAAATACATAAATTTCAGATGTTGGTGGATACGGTATTCTAAATTCTCCATTTTCATCATGAGACGGTAAATAATGTTTTAATGCCAATATATGCAGCGAGCCTGTGTGAGGAAGAATATAAAATTAATTGTATTATTTCTTGTAGGTACATGAAAAATAATATCAATGCATGATATACCATGATTTTTAACAATATCAACAAATATTTAAAACAGAAGTATTTATTACCTTGATCAACAACGTTCAAAACGCCATCAGGAGTGACGGCTAATGCGGAAATTGTTTGGAATTTAGCATTAGACGATAGTAAAGTTTCTGTGTTAGTTGGGGGTTCATCTCCAACTGCTACACTCAAGCGACATGGGCATCCAGCGACTTCGTCTCTAGGATTTGTAGGTATAACAGTGGCCGAAATTGAAGTGTTGCATTCACAACTTAATTCTTTTAAGTTTTCTTGTAACTTCCCAGCAAAATGCATGATCTTTCCAGAGGGATCAATCGTTTTAATAGTATTTGTTTTCTTAGCATCTGACTCGGCTACATATAGAATTCCGCTTGGTGCAAATGATAAAGCCAAAATTGTTCCCAAGCTAGAATCTTCTCTAAAATCTGTATTCGTTCTGTTTGCAGGTTTGGCGATTGGCTTACCATCACTTCCAAGTCTGCAGTGTGAGGGTTGACCAGCAACTACTTTTATTTTCATATCAACAGTCAACTTGAGAATTATTCTATCGTCTATGAAGTATAATGAACCATCTAATGGAGATAAAGCAACGCCAGTAGGCCATTGTAATTGAGCATCATATGGAGGGATTGCACCACGACACGGAACCGGTGACCAATGGTTATGGTGTCCATGGTGTCCTACAAGAGTGTGTATAATGCCACTGGGATCAACAGCACGAATATTAGTTCCATCTGCAATGTACATTGTTCTATCTGCTGCAATAGCGAGACCTGAAAAAGTTTTAAAATAAAGTGTTCTTCTTTTGAAGTTTCAATGTTATGAACTTAATCCGTCCGTATTATAATAATATAAATGTGAAAGTTTGTGACTATGTATTGATGTTTGTTACTCTTTCACTCCAGAACGGCTGAACGGATCTAGATTAAATTTGGCACAGAGATATATTATAGTCTGGAATAACCACAAAAATATACGGTTCCCGTGGGATAGGTTTGTTTTTGTTTTCCAAAGCGAGGGTGAGCTACTAGTGTTATATATTTACATTTAATTAATATTTGTATAATAATAAAACTTAAACTTATTACGATTTCACAACTTAAAATATAATTCCTCAATACCTTTCGGGTGGGCCAACTTTGCTTTGACAGCAGGTCCTTCATCACCGCAGTTGGTATCATCTCCTGGTACACATCGATCTCCGTTTCCAACAATAGGTTCAGAATTAGTTGCTGGGTCACGCACTTTATCTAGAACTATGACTCTTCTTACTTGATGCCTTTCCGAGTCTGATATGTAAAGATACCCATCTGCTGGCGATATGCAGATATAGTATTGATATGCGACTTGTGTTGTTCTGAAATAAAATATAATACTTTTGTTACACTTCCTACATGTTTGTATAACGATATGTGTATATTTTTTATCTAAGGAGAACCTGTCTCAATTGATTTGGAAAAAGGAGTAGGCATAGAAAAAGTTTCTACATAGTATGTTTATTGAAATATAAATCAAAGTGAAATAATAATATCATCATAGAATAATGTATGAAACTTACTCTAACTGTAATATGGTTGTAACTACTCCTTCAGGTGTAATACGACGGACGAGGTTGAAGTCGCCGACATAAAGAGATCCATCAGGCCCAGATGTAAGAGCAGTTGGCGTAAGAAGTCGAGAGTCCGCTGCTTTCCCGTTACAATGATCAGGACAATTCAGTGATCTTTGAAGACCTGTGCCCATTACAACCTGAAACATGATAATAATTTTATTTATTAAGTATTTTATACGTCCTACTCCTGGGACACTGGACGTCATAATATGAATAGGATTAAAAAAAAATTATATCATTTTATAGTTTTCTAGCATTGCCCGCTTATTATATGTATAGGTATTCTTACTATTAAGATTTACTTAGTATAATAAACTGAAATTGATTTATACCGAATTAGAAATTATAAAAAATAATGCTAAAAGACAGAACTGCGATTACTTGATTGCTTATAATTAGGTATTTAACATGTTACTGTATTACGATGGTGATGATGATGAAATGATTCCATAAATAATATCTATTCTCTTGTCAAAGTAAACAAATTTAGTTGTTAGCTAACATCTTTTGACTCCAGGTCTATAACTATAGTCACTATACCTGTACAGTTCTAGGATATTGTTTCAAATGTAATAAAGCCCCGTCTCCTTTTTGCAGTATGCCTTCATGGAAGTTGTAATGATGGTGAATATCCAAACCCCATCCTCCGATGTCAGAAATATCTACGTCAAAACCAGATAAAGTGGCAGTCTGCGTTTCCCAAACTATTGCTGAACAAGTTGTGTATTCGTAGCCAATTGATATTTTAGCTTGAGCTTGACCGTACACCTGTCAAAACATAACATAGTATGTATAAGTATTAACCAAATTTTTAACGTAATTTCAAAAAACTAAATCTGATATTTATTTAAAACATCTTTTACCTATGTAGGTTTAAGTGCTATTCGTTTAAACAACATAAAATAAACACATAAAAACAAACAATGTACACAATATTGCCCACATACATACATAAGTCTACACATACATACCTTTTGTTTATAGACATTCCTCTTATTCCAAGCAAACACATGGGTCAAATCAGGGTCCGCTTCGTAAGTGTGAGTGTGTAGAGAACCCTCGATTTCAACACGCACATGAACCCGTGTAAGAGACGCCGGAACCACTCTTCGGGTCAATTGGATGTGTACACAAGATAAATATCCAGCTGCTTGCGACGAACGGTATGTTAACTTTACAGACGAACCCGGTATGCCGATGGACTCACTAACGATCTATATTGGAAACAATGATTTATATGAGAAACGGGTGATACTTGTTAATTGATATGATTAAAACCATTCAATTAATCTATTTTAAGTATTAAAATTTTATTTAATATCTAAAAAATAAGTCACATACAAATTTTAAATAAATAAATCTATTTTTCTGTTTTTGCTTACAAAATTAATATTACTTATAATTTACTTCATTTTATCTATTTAAAGAGCATCATTATGTATGATTCATACCTGAGCTTCAGGGTATATAACAGTGGATGTGGTAGGAGATGAAACTGCCGGGGCGGCGAGAGCTGGCATTGCGACCACCTCAGGCCTGAGTCGTTCGTGATCATGAGCACTGCACGGAGGAGTTTCAGCCTCCCACCATTGGGGCATCGGTGACCAATCTAGCCTCGGAGGAGCTCTGAAGAATAACGTATAACGTCCATAATTATAATAAATTTATCTTGTTAATAGAAACAGGTTTTAAATAATTTAGTTGATATATATGCCCAATTGTGTTTAAGTTATAATTTATACAAATTTCTACATGAAGAAATAAAACGACTCATTAATTAACCAGATAGTAATAGTAGATAGTGGGCGTGAGTAGAAAAAATAGTAAATAATGAAAAATGCTTATAAGAGTCTAATGGGAATAAATCTTATAAAGGCTAAAAAGGTATTTTTGGATTATTTAAAAAAAATATTAAGCAGCCAGGGAAATGAACTCGTTATTTGTAAAGATAGTTATATTGAAAAATATTTGCGCTATATTAGTACATTGCTGACCTCGGCGTCGGTACTTTAATGCTGTCGTCACTGAGTTCCATCTGAACAGGTGGTAATACAACAATTTGATTCCATGGCACGAAAACTGTCTTCCTCAAAGGCTTAAATGGCGACCGCTGAAACTGTAGAGTCACTGCTCCTCCGCCGTTCACCAACACATCGAACCTAAAATATATAATTTATTAGTAATTTACATTCATTACATTAAAAACTGCATAGAAAATAAAACATATGTAATGAGTATTTTATTAATTTGTAAAGTTAAACTTTAAGAATGGTAAATTAATTGCGATACGTCAATATTAATTTTCAAAAAAAAAAAACATACAGTCGAATTGAGAACCTCCTCCTTTTTGAAGTCGGTTGAAAAGATAATAAATGACCATCTTGCATAATTGAAACTATTATTATTAATTATTATTATAAAATATAAACCTTAGATTCAATTTGTTATACAAATAACAAGATCAGTATGATAAAAATGTAATATTATATACTGAAATATTATTTCATATTTTTATATACATATTATGTTTAAAATTATTTCATTAGTATGTACTAAGTATACAGTTTTAAGTTACACTTTTCTTTTTTGTTTGAGGTTTTAACCGTTTCCCTGTCCCATGAGTCATATATGAACATTTCGATTGTTTAACTATTGTGTCTATTTTGCAGACAGTTAATCTGTTAAAAGAATGTACACTAGTGCAGCTTCACATGTAGAGATATATTCGTAGTTATTATTAGAGATATATTTTTTTATTTTACAGGAAACTAGAAGTATAAAACAGATAACATTCGTTTTTTTGATGGTCAGGTGAGGATTAGTAAAATTACTCAAGATCATTGATCACACTAAATCTATACATATAATAAAATTGTAAGTAAGCCGAATCTGTACCTACATTAGATATTTTTTGGAAAATCTTATTGAAAAAGACATTATTATCGATACAGAAGTCGAATCTATAGTTTTAGAATTTTTGTCAGTCTGTTTGTCTGTTACCGCATCACAGAAAAACCACTGGAGGGATTTTGATGAAATTTGGTATGATGATAGCAGGCTATCCGGGTCAACATATAGGATACTTATTATCGCGGGCAATGCTAGTATATAATATAATAATGCAGTATTTTTAATCTCCCATTACCATTAGTTTAATTAAAGCGGTTTTAGATCAGAGCCTACCACTTTGGATAAATAAGCGTTGTCGGACTTCACCCGTTCTTCGGAAACTGGTTAAGTTCTATGAGAAACAAGTCATAATCGAGTTAAAAATGAGATTTAATAAAGTTTTCATAGGTACGGGTCTCCTAATAACTTTGTTTGCCCTTTTTTTATATTTTACAATAAACTATAGCTATTTTTACAAGCACAAAAATACAAAAAAATAAAAAATAAAATAAGAAAATAAATAATAATAATACTGTAAAATACCAAATAAGCTTAAAGCTAGCTATTACATTTAATTTGGGCAAAGTTATTATCTCTAGCTTTCAATATTTGACTAAAACTTTGTTGACTTTGATCATTGATGTAGGTAATACAAGTTCGTTTCAATTTAAGTTTGGAATTTAACTAGGTAGGTATCTAACGGCGATCCGATACGAAATATTGTAAGTTTTGAGTATGTTAAGTTTTATTATATAATAATTTCTTACTTTATAATATCTATTTAATAAAGTTTGATAGTAAATATAATATTATTTAAGGTTTTAGTCAGTATGTTTAAATCGAGTAGAATTTAAGTGAAAGCCTGTGGCATTTTAAAATTTTATAAATTACTAGCATTGCCCGCGGCTCCGCCCGCGTTCAGATGACCGAAAACCAAATTCTTAGGATTTACGTATTACAATGCAGTTTTTGTTTGTATTTTTTCTCAGAAATTGGATATTTTCCCGTGGTAAATAAATATCCTATATGTTGACCCGGATAACCAGCTATCGTCATACTAAATTTAATCAAAATCTGTCCAGTGGTTTTCTCGTGATGCGGTAACAGACAGACAGATAGACAAAACATCTAAAAACTATAGATTCGGACTCTGTATCGATAATAATGTCTATTTCAATTAGATTTTCCAAAAAATATTTAATGTACAGATTCGACTTAGAATTTTATAATATGTATAGATTTAATTAATTTCGAGAAAGCGGTAGGTTCTTCATTCCGGTGTATGTTTTAGAGCGTGTGTACATTACCAATGTACTTTCACCAATTGAGGCCAAATTTTTAGGATAGGATAGAAAGAAGTTTTTAGAATTTTTGTCTGTCTGTCTGTCTGTTACCGCATCACGGAAAAACCACTGGAGCGATTTTGATGAAATTTGGTGTGGTGATAGCTGGTTATCCGGGTGAACATATAGGATACTTTTTACCGCGGCAAAATGTCTCATTTCTGAGAAAAAAATACAAAAACTGCAATGTAAGAGTATACTAATATGTAAAATCTAAGAATTTGGTTTTTGGTTATCTGAAGGCGGCCGGAGCCGCGGGCAATTCTAGTAATACATAATTCCTTATCAATCTTCAGCTCTTGCTACACGAACCACGGTTTCATAATAACTGACATTCTTATTTTCTTTATATCTTTATCGTGTATATAATAATGATCTAACGTAATGATATGATATGGAAATCTATCTCTATGTTCAGGGAAAACAAAACACATATATTCCTTGTAGCTTAGATATGTGCATAAAACGAGGTCAAAGATTTAGTTACTAATGAGTGTACGTACGGGGTACCCATTGGTAAAGTGGTAGCTTGGGAAACTAAGAGAAGAGAGTTTAGTCCCTCCACGACCGCGGACACGCCAGCGTGTCAGTTAACATTAGATTTCTTAGAAATTTACCTAGAGGTGTTAAACGCTGATTCTGATATCTTTGAGATTTTCATCATCATCGTTCAATTTTATTTTAATATAATTTAGATACGGTAAAGGGAAACATCGTGAGAAAACATGCATGTCTGAGACACTTAATTCTAGTTTTAAAAACTAGTATAAAATCTGTCAATCAGCATTTGGCTAGAGTGGAACGTTAAAAATATGATTAATAGTATGAAACAAAGAAAATAGTAATAGTGTGGCAATACTATATTCTGGGGTAGCTTTAGTCGAGCACTGCACTGGATTGGCTGTTGTTTATTTAGATTTTATAGCTTTAAATTGTTCCTTAGTGGCATTGGGTTTGTGAGGCAAGTCCTACTCTGTCTCTACTTGGTTACGCCATAAAACAACAAGAACAACATATATTATTAATATTTTGTCAACATTAGGAACCTATTCGGTACGAGTATGTATGTAATTTAGTTAAATTTAGCTACATATTTTCAAGTTATTTATGTAAATATTATTTACCCCAATTATGTAATGTATTTCGATTCCGTATTCAAGTAAAAATACGTAGTATATTTTTTTCTATACAGAAGTACATAGTTGAATAATAAAAAGGTACTACACAAAAGATTGTTTTACAATAGCTGAACGAAAATAACAACTAACAGCCACGCACAGGCAGTTTTTTGTGATAACTAACTTTTTTTTATAAATGAGTGTATGACAAAAAATGTATATTTGAGCTCTACCTTATCTTTAGTTTACAGTACAGAAAAAATATTATATAATAAAAATATTAAAAGTAGGTATATTGGTATATAGCATCACACAATTCTATGACAAAAATATAAATCTATTAAAGTAAAATATACATTTTGAAATTTTATAATAAATAAGATTTACATAGTACCTTTATTGTAATGATAGGACTGTTACTAATTCATGAATATGCTAATTTTCATGAGTATCCCTACACTACGTCCATTAACGTTTAATTTCTTTTAAGTCTAGACACGTGGGTAGTTATTAAGCGTCGTAAAATGGAAAGATAAACAAATATTAATAAAATGTATGAATATTGTGTATTTTTTTGTAATTAAGCGTGGAGGTTCTATGTTTAATTCGATTATGTGTGAGGAAGTTTTAATGACCGTAACGGAAAATTAATGATAGCTTGACGGCTGTTAAGATCAAATATTTATAATGATTTTTAGTTCTTCTTTAAATACGGGAAGGCACGCGATGCGAGAAAGCTATAATGTAAATTTAACGATATTTATTCATTTCTTATTACAGGTCCGGGTCCATTCTGTAGAATTGGAAGTTTTGGAGACCGTGTCACATTGTTATAACGAAACGTGTTTTCTTCTAATGTGGATTTTTTTAATTATAAATATTAAACTTTTACTGATTATTAAAGTAAAAACAAGTTGGCGTGTTTGATATCTTAAGAACACTTGATATTAGTCATATTTGCATCGTGATACAAAAACTTTATAACTACTTAAATAACTACTTTTTATAGCGAAATAAACCATTAATTTGCGTGTAAAAGGAGAAGGTTAACTAACGGGCTCAGTGCAAGCTGCGTCCTCATTGTTTATAATGTATGTATAAATGTGTATACGAAAATATATAAGTGCTTGGTACTTTACAACGGCACGTGTTCTAGCACCTGGCTTGTCTTCTTTTGAATTAAGGGTTGAGTGAGTTGTGTGCAATTAGTTGTTATACCCCGTCGTTTCATACTAATTTAGTAGCGAGGTATAACTTAAGACATTTTGAGGAAACTGGTTTTTTGATTTAAATTATATAAAAGTCAGTTTTTGCAGTTGGCATCGACCATTCTAGAAGCCATTAAATTATTTTGATTGGAATGAAAAGCAGTTCGCTATAAGTATGAACCTTGACCTAGATTTATCAATCTGAATTTTCCGCGAGAGTCCATTAGTAGAAAATAAATGATAAATCCAATTTTTATATTCAATTATATTTTGTACATTGCCAGAAAAATATTATGAATATTTTTATAAGAAGTATGTCAACTTAAAATATTATTTTTTCGTTATTGTAGCCATTGTTTATATCTCAGTTAAAAACTTAAAATAATTTAACTAAAAAGTTTAAAAATCCTGCAGGAAGCTTTTATAAAAGTTTAATGTTTAGGAGTTATGCGCAAAGTTGGACATTATCTTCGGCTATCTAACCGAATTAAGATTAAAAAAATATTGATTATTCTTTATGACATATTTTGAAATTCATCTTTTTTTAATGTTTTCTACTTCAGATTATTTTCCATGTCGATATAAGAAAATCAACATATCGAAATCTTATTTCGGCGCTTTTTGACATTGTCGAGACAATGCATGTCATCTAACCTATATTAGATTCAATTAATTGATTATTAAACAATTCTATTTAATAAGCGTTTTACATAATTTCATATTATTAGTCTATATGCCATATCATTTTATATTTTTTCGAATCAATACTTACCATCCGCCTTGTCTTGTAAGCGTGAATCCAAATCTGGCCTCGCGGTCAACAGAGACCCTGATGCCGATGATGCCGAGCCCCTGCGGCGACACTACCTGCCCCCGCATCACCGACACTCGGCTGCACATCACACCGCTTATCAGATCGTGCCGGCAGAGCACAACGTGCACGCCGATATGATTCTCACACAATGCTTTTATTACCGTGAACGGTGTAATTGTATTTTACAGTGACAACTTTTTGCTCGAAACATCAAAAAAAATTCTAAATTAACAATATTCCTACAAAATGTCTAACTCGAAGTTTTACACTAACTGAATGAATACATTTAATTAACGTGTTATTATAAAAGCTCGTTAAAACGCAACGAGTACAAATATAACAATGTTATTGAACAAAAACGTGTACATACAAAAATAAATAAATATTTTTAAAAGCAATTCAAACTTTTATTAGAATTGTTTAGAGTGCAAACGAAAGTCATAGTATATTGAAAGAAAAGTATTTTGAAAGAACTTCTACACATAAGAGAAAGATTAATTGGATATCTGTGACCATTAAGAAAAGAGCTCGTATAAACGAGAACCGTCGCCATTAATACTAGAACTTAGTTCACTTGAGCAAAAAGACAAAAACAACACGAGTGAACGCCAGATACTCCTAACTGTGGCTGGCTAAAGAAAGAAGAAACGGAAAACTAAGTTTGTAAATTGTTACGATAAGTATCTAAGAGCAAAAGTGCATATATTTAATATAAGTTTCCTGGTAATGTATATTACTTCTCTATTAATTATATAGCATTTTGTTGTATTCAGCCCTTCTTAACGTCCCACTGCTGAGCACGGGTCTCCCTTCAATATCAGGGGGATCAGGCCATAGTCCACCACGCTGGCCAAGTGCGGGTTGGCAGACTTCACATGTCTTTCGAAAACTTGCTAGGTTCTCTCAGACATGCAGGTTTCCTCACGATGTTTTCCTTCACCGTAAGGCAAGTGGTAAACATGTTGAAAATGATTCGCACTTGAAAATATCAGAGGTGCGAGACCCGGGATTTGAACCCGCTTCACTCGGTTACCCATGCGAGCGCATCACCACTGGGCTACCACTGCCTTATTAATTATATTATAAATCATTTATTATTAAATTACCTACAACTTGAATAAGTGCAACAATATTAACATTGTTAAACCTTTAAATTAAAATTTACAAATATCTAAATATTAAACAAATTTATATCTAGGTAGGTACCTGTACTAAAAATATATTTATGTACATTTTAAATATTTAAACTTTATTTATATATAAGTAAAGGTTTGCTTAAAAATACTTATGTATTTTAGTAACATAATCACTCACGATGTATTCAATCTTATGTAGTATAGCAAACTTCTCAAATCAAATTTAAACTAGCCATTATGTGAGAATCATATTGTCGTGCACGCTCCCTCAATAGAATAATGATTGAGGTCACCGTGCTATTGCGCTTATAACTTGCAATCAAATCTGTGAAAGTGAAGTATGAAAATAAAAATTGAAAAATAAAATAAGAAGTCTTTAGCATTGCACATTCTCTTTTTAGGATTAGCTAAATGTCTATTTAAAATTTCCATTTACATATCATATTATAAATAATTATTTAAAGAAAAAATGATCTCAGTATGTAAATGGAAATCTGCTTAGATAGGTATGTAGGTATAATAATGCATGTAACAGCTGCCACACAGACCAAAGTCATTATTTTTCATATATGTAACAGGATTTTAGAACTACATTTGTACGTTAAATACCATCTCGTGACATTTGAAATTGGTGCAAATTATAATTAATTAATGTTAAACAAAGCTATTTTGTTACAAATATTTTCCAAAAAAAAAAAACTTAATTCCAAAGTGCATTTTGATTAACTAAATAAGGCAGTTATGAAACAATATAATAAGATGACCGATATCTTTACAAAGCACACGTTTGTGAACAATAAAATTATACCGAATCCAAGTAAAATGTTGAGATGATGTTACTTTAGCTGTTTCATTTTCGCTATTGTAAAGATTAAAATATATGAGTATGACTTACAATTTCTAAACGTAACTCGTAATAACGTATCTAAAATAAACAAATATATTTAAACACGTTTAACTATAAGTATATCTCCTCGGGTCAAGTGTTACTGTTGTTATGATACATCATACACATGTGCTACAGCACAACAAGGTGACCTTTGTAATTGTTTATCACAAATAAGTAGCATACTTTAATTCGCTGAAAATCATAAGTCTTAAATTGTGCATCAAAACTACATGTAAATCGCTACTGATCAAATCAAAATGGTTAAATATATGTATATAGTTATTAATAAATCACAGATTAATTGTAGTAAATATTTTCTAAGAATAATAAACATTTTTTACACCACAAAGCCCTTAGGAAATAAAAAATTTAGTAAAATTTTATTTTCTATTAACAAATATTCGTAAAATAATTTCTTCTCACAAAAATAATTTATCACAGCAGTACTAAGTTTCCTTTGAACTTATAATTTATTTGATTTTAGAAATCTTTAATTTTTCTAAGGACAATTCCATTTTTATATTTTTCTATTTATTGCTTTTCTGCTGGAAAGTTGACGTTGAAAACACAAAGTTAAAATATCGAAGACGTAGAAAACGGCAATATCAATAAAAGCTAATCAAAATTACACGACCACGCCTGTATTGTGGTTGTACATGAAAAATATTTTTTTTATTTACAAATATACTTTTGTAAAATTATTAAAACAGTTCCACTACAAACTACACTCTGGAAACAAAAATAAATTAATTTAACATGTAATAAATAAGTACGTTGCACCAATTTCAATTTTGATTAATCTAAAATGTATTTACTTTGTGACCGGTAGATGGAAGCAATGGTTGTAATGTACAGTGTCGACGAGGTTGCTATCATCTCGCTGAGAAATGGTCGAAGTTATCAAGTTGTGTTTTGATTAGTTACAGGGTTAGGATCTAAACACATAAGAGCTTGGGCAGAGGGTAAGGGTTGGTTAACAGATGATAGACGCAGACAAAGGGTAAGGAACACATAAAAGGGTAAGTTTTTTCGAAGCTAAATTTGCGTGTTCGTTGATATTTATTCAATCGATGACAAACATTTCGCGCCTCGATACGTATATATTACAGCCCTACGCCTAACGAAATGTGTTTTTAACGTCTTGCGTGAAAGCGTATATGATTTTCCTAAGTTTCTTTGGTATATTTAAGGTATATCATAGTATATGTGAGCTATAACAGAAGCACAGTAGACGAGAACAAATATTACAAAAAATACAATTGTGGTTGCGGCAAATTTTATTTTAAACGAGACGCAGCGTTGTGCGGCTCACGGCTGAATGATTTACATTCGAGAGAGTAACAACTTTGTCGCAACCACAACGCACATTTAAGACAGACATACAGATGTTACATACACATAGAGAATGAAACGAATACAGACAAAGGAGTAAACGAAAAGTGAAAAGCATTAGTGTCGCCGTTCGCGTGCCACTTAGTAGACATGCGGCGGGCGACGGCATTACACACATATGCAGGAGTTGCAACAAAAGGGAATAGGTTAACAGATACTGAACACTGAGGGGCGAGGGCGGGCTGACTGACACTTACCATGGTGTAAAGGAATTCCAGAACTCGCTAGGAGTGGCGGACACACGGCGGCACAGGGACACAGAAAGACAGGACAGATTACTACACAGATACCTACATCCCTCAGTGCAACCCCACCCCGATTTGCAACCGGTGCGGCCGGTTGCGCTCGTCTACGCTGGTTACCTTGCGTTTTAACACTTGCTTTAATGATCGATTTTAATTCATTGCCATATCATAATACTGATTAATAAATGAAGCCCGTTTGCATTAGAACAACAACACCACCACTATTCAATGTAATGTATTAACAATAACATTTTCGCGAAATTTGGTAAATTTTATATTATTTGAAGGTTGCACTAAGACATAGGAAACTATTATCGTATAAAAAGTGCATGCTGAATGGTGATCGCGAAGGTTTTATATGTGTTATATTTATCTAGGCCCAATTAAACAAATGCCAGAACGCAATATAACCCTTCCAGACTCTCCAACACAAATAAAATAGTTAAGCGGCTCGTGTTTTAATGCAAACAAACTTTTGAGGCGCTTTTGCATATAAAGCGAGGTGGGTTGTCTACTTTATTTATTCAGTTTTGCTTTGTCTTATTCTGTTTTATAAGAGGTCGTATTTCCTTGAATGTTATTGAACCGCAAGTATCAAATACTTTATTCCACTTTTTTTATATTGTTAACGACAGACTCAGATCGTGAAAGAAACCCATAGTAACATTGGTACAGAATATTTACAAATAGATTTAAGGCAGTAATTAAATCAGTTCTAAAGATAAACGAGACAAATTAATTAAATTGTCGTACTTTCTCTTAGGTATCTATCATGACTTGAGTCGCTGATAATGGCTGTAATTTATATAACTATTTCGTTGACGAAAGACAAACAAAACTGTTCGAAAGCTTTTGAGCGCTCGGAAAATTTATCTTTTTTTGTAAGTAAATATAATTATAAGACGCTTTTATTTTAATTAGACAAACAGGTAGGGTAAGACACACACAAGGGATAAACATTAGACAATACACAACACATCGGATCTGGTGTGAAAACATAATTGTTAAAACCAAAAAAAAACAAAACTAAAAAAAACAACATTTTTATTAATATGATGAAATGTTAACCATGCCGGGATTGCAAAAAATAAATTAATAAATTTGCTCTCCATAAAATAAAATAAAAAATTAGGAAAATCAAAACACTTCCACCAGATGAGAAATAAAAGAGTAAGATTTTAAATGTATTCATAAAATTAAAAATAACCACACCAAATCCTTGGAGAGGTCTAGGAAGATGAATGGGATCCAAATTGGTACAGGTGCTAGTTCCTAAATACATCATGTCATTATAGGTTTTGTTTCTTTATTACGGATTTACATACTATGGAGATGATAATACGGTTCTACATTTATTGTTAGTGCAAATTATCAATTTATAACTGTGCAAAACCGATAGGTTAATCCTAAGCCATCGTCGAGTAAAAGATATCGTTTTTAATTTTACCATTACATTTTGAACACAAGTTGTTCGATATCTTTCACGAATGAAGTGATTTGGTGTTATACGTACTTGGTCATTTTAACATTTTGATCACTTACCTTTCTGAATATTCATCCATATGTGCGTAGCTTTGTACAGAGTTTTCTTCGATAAGAAATTTGACGCGTTGGTAGAAGGAAGCGGTGACCGATGGTGGTTGCTTACGAAGCAACACTTCGACTGGATCGTTGGAGGCCAAGCACATTATATGCTCGGCGCATTCAGGCCTGCTGCAGCATTCAGAGTCCGAGCAGTCCGTCATGCCATCTTCGAAACGGTAGTGCCAATGTCAAATGACCAATCATTTCATATGATCAACAAAATTTTGATTCCTTTTTAAATAACATTTACAAAGAAATATGTAAGTTAAAAGTATTGGTGTTAACATTTGGGGTCACAAATGATATAAAGTGAAATGGATGATCTAATGTGTCTTATTTTTATAATAATTTATGAGTGAAACTTCGCATTTCCTTTTAATAACAATCACTAAATCATTACCTTCATCGTTGTCTTCATTGTCACTACAAGAGAGTTCAAGAGCGATGGAGCAGTCGGTTCCAGCCCAGCCATCTGCGCACGAACACCGGTACACGCTATCTTCCAACAAACATTGCCCGTGACGAGAGCAACCATTTGGACAACCCGCTGTGTATAATAAATAAATTTTATAATGCATATATTATTAAGTCAGTTTTAATCCATATCATGATCAGATGAGAGATTGTGGAGGTGAATATAAAAGTTCATTTTTTACTTTTACCGTAATTTTGTGCGAACAATAAAACATGCAATTAAGATGATATAGAAGCTGTTCAATTAACTTACGTAAAGTACAGTGTTTCCCATTCCAGCCTTGAGTGCAAACACATGTACCATTTTTACACTGCCCATGTTCATGGCAACGAGTATCACAAGGTCGTTGATCACACAATGAACCTGTCCAACCATCATCACAGCGACAAACTCCTTCCGCACATACACCGTGTGGTCCACAATCCAAAGAGCACACCACTGAAAAATAAAATATTTATTTAGGAGTTTTATTATTTTTACAATAAAATACGAGCATATGTAAATACATAAATTATAGTAAAACACTCAATGCTTACCTTGAGAGCAATCATCGCCTGTATATAATGGATCACAAACGCATCTTCCCGCATCCAAGTCATATACACCTCTTTGAGAGCAGGCGGGTAAGCATCGTTGTACACGCGCGTCACGTTCAGTACACGCTGCGCCACGCCATCCAGCGCGACAAACGCAACGACCGCGGACACATGAACCGTGACCACCACAAGTTGGATCAAGGCAATCCTCTGTAATAATCTCAGTGGTATTTATATCTTAGTAGATATGAATTGTTCTTGTAATCATGTAATAACTTAAATATTTGACATTATATATTATAAAATAATTTTAAATATTATTTATAATAACGAAAAGAATTTAATACCTTCGTCACATTTTGCTCCCTTCCATCCAGCTTTACAATGACATTGTCCAGCCATACACTGTCCTCGACCAGAGCAGTCAGCGGGTTCACAGTCATGTGCAGGAATATCACACTCTGCCCCTTTCCAACCTTCTGAGCAATGACATACTCCTCCAGCATATGCACCATGACCAGAGCAAAGGACGGGGCATACGCCTAAAAGGACAAAGGTTATTAGTTGAAAATTTGGTTAACAATTTCTTTAAGTTCATAAAATGTAGATCACAACTTACTTTTTGAGCAATCGTGTCCTTCAAAACCGTCCATACATTCACATTTTCCAAGATAACAAGATCCATGACCGGAACAGTCATCTGGGCATGAATTCGTGACACCTTCCGCTTCAGAAACGATCATTTCGACATGATGTGGTTGAAGTTCATCGTTGTATATTGAAAGAAACCATCGTCCTGTATCGAGATATTGCAGTATACTAACATTCACCCTCATATCTGTGGATCTTTTAGTGATAGTATGATTCCATCTTTCAAATGGACTAATTGTGCTTAATAATGTCTTCATGTCAACAAAAGTGGGTTCATGGGATTCAAATCTATGTGGACTTCTTCTTCTTCTCAGCCTGTGATCTACTCGACCGCCTCGAATAAATTCAACAAAGTCGTACTGTGTTACACTAGGAGCGACATTTCTTCTTCCATAGACAGCAAAATTAGCTCCCCATGGAACAGTAAAATTAAGGCTAACGAATGCTGGTTGCTTATTACGAAATTCAGAGCTCCAAAACTGATAAGCAGGAATTGTTGCACTATGCAGTTCGTCGAATTCTCTTACTTCTAAAGCGGGAGACCACGGTGGCGGGGCAGCTTGTTGTACTTGTTGCGGTATTACTGCTGATTCTAAAGCAGCTTGAGCTGTCGTTGACCAACCTAAAGATGACGTTGAGATAGATTCTACAAAAAATAACATATATTACATTCTGAGAATTTTTATGTATTACATAAAGGTCCAAATTTTAAGTACATAAAAAATCACATACCATCTGACGGTGAAGATGTTGATAAAGCATCTCTAATCCCGTGTGAATGTGTTACTGCTTTTACATCTTGTACCAGAATACAATTAGAATTGTCTATATTACTTTTAATTGACGATAATGCTGAAACAAACAAGTTGCATATTTAATTACATGATATTTCTATGAACACGTTTATAAATTAAATATATACGAACGTAATTATTATTAATTAATTAATAAGTTTTGTGAAATCATATACGAGTATATTATGTAAGTACTAATATTTCCATTAAATATGCTTTATCTTTCAATCAATTACAACTAGAAGTCAAAATGGAATGCTATTAGAGGATGGATGTTATTGTAACTGATATTACCAAATAGGACACAAAGAGAAATGTCACTAGAGAATGTGACGTTTGGGAGATGCATCTATGAGTGGAGTAAGTGTCGTGAGTTTTAATTAACCGAAGCAAGTCTAAGGCGCATTTCGTGGTAGTGTGACGAAGCAATTGGTTCCGGTGCAATGGGCCGGGTGACTTTAAGCACGTAGGCACGCTTATATTTAAGTATTTCTTACTGCTGGATTTGTAGCAAGTACTAACTAAGCAGTTTAATTAGATAACAATTTTTTATCTTTCGAAATGAAGTTTTCAAAAGTAAAATAAAGTCGTCGCGATATTTTTCCTTTTATACAATATATTTATATTGCAAAAATATTGAGGGAAGTTGACATGTTAAAGTCTGTTATGTAATTTTTTATCTATTTTTCTGTTATTTTAATAATATTTCTGCCCTTTCAAAATCTTTTCTAATTTTTTTTAAATTAATAACCATACCGATATAGCCATGGATTGGCTACCAAAGTTTGAATAGAAAATAAAACTTGAACGGAGAATTGATTGTATACATTTATTAGTTTTATGTGGAACCTGCATGCGACCGGGATTTGCTGCCCCATTAAAGATGTGATGTTTATTTTGTTTTGGATCGTGTGCCCGAGCCGAGATCTGGTTACATCGCCTTAAATAAAAGCCATATGTCAATCCTCGTACGGTTTAATTGACGTAACGGCGTAGTGGAATCGAACTAATTACCTAACGTTTACTTTTAATTATTATTCTATAATTTGCTGAGAGATAGTCTAAATTAATGAACGGAAATTCAAGTCTTTTTTAAAGTTTGTTTTAATTTCATTTACGTAGTTCATTGAAATTTTTTTACTCACTTTTATTTTAAAATTCTTTTTATGTAAAATGTATGTATAATGCATTTTTTTTAATATTTGCGTTCCAGAATTAAATAATAATTACAATACGGGACTTAAGTCCCGCAGACTTAAGCTATATACCTTATTCCCAACGTTTTGACAGGGTTGCACGAGCCGTGGTCACGTGGTCACGGGCAGACAGTTTATATGTTTAAATCAATTTGAACTATGTAAATAAATATTAACTTTATAAATAAATATTTTGTAAATAAATTAAATATGGCGATTCAAAGATTAAATACAAACAATACATATTCAGAAGTGAGTAATTACGTTATCAACATCCCTTGACAAGTGATCTATTTCTAAGATTCAGTGGGAGATAGGCATCATAATGTGTTGACGCCATTTGGCCATTTGAATTGGACAATTTAGTGTAACTGTGTTGAGGGTCGATACTTAACGGGGATACCTTATCGCCTCAGTGATCTAGGCTCAAATAATTTATGCATGACTCACGAATGGTAAGTCCTATTGATTTTTTAAATCTGGTATTGCTCAATTTAGATAAGAAGTAACATGGGGTGGAACATAATGAAGATAAAAGAAATACCGAGAGTAATATAGCGTATGTGTGTTGTATATAAGACTTTATTATTGAATAATAAAAAAATAAGAATTTGTAATATATAGCACGTTTAGTTTCATTATTGGCCTATTGTAACGTTGAATCATGAAATATGTAACATACTCTTATATTTCCAGCTTAAAATAAGCTAATAAACAATATTGAACTACATATAAACGAGCTTAGATGACGTAATTTCCGCCTACAAAAATGATATATTGTAATGTGGTAAGTTGTGCCTTTTCCCGATGATCCCTCGTAAAATCTATAAATTTTCGGTATAGAGCGGCGGCGAGGAAATCGAGGGTCGTTGAATAAGTCTCTGCGATGCACGAGACGATTGTGTGCAGATGGACGATGTTTGCTATCTATACTATTTTTCGAGTTAATACAATTTATTGTAATACGATTCAGCATAGATTGCATCGTGCAGTGGGGGAGCAAACTCGTTTGATAGAGTCTCGAGGGACACGGACGCGCCGTCGCACTGACTCGGTATTAGTCACGTGATAAATCTTCCACTCTGTGCCTTAATCTATCTCTTTTTATCGTTAGGAATACAATATCGCACCATCCTCTTCTCGCGTAAATATGATCCATATCCACGAAGGGTCGAGGTCTTGTTTGCTCTATTTTAAGAAGTGTAGACAAGAACAAATCTATCTCTGCCAAGTGCAAATTTAATAATCAAATTCTGTAATCGAATTTGTTATCAATCATAACAGATTAAATTATATTTGAATGTTATAAAAAACATAAAACCAAATTCTCAGAACTAAGTTTAAAATTTATTTAAATTACATTAAAATGGGATATTTCATTCTTTGAAGTACCTATAAATTCTACACAAGAAAATAAATAAAATGTAGTTAATTAAGATAATAGCAATATATTATGTACATTATATAGTGTAGGCGGTTATGTTATTTTTGATAATAAATCTGCCATGTGGCGTGTGCTGTTTCGAATAAATCGGATATTATTTTAGAGTTTAGTTACAGTTAGTTATAGGGAGAGTTTAAATAAAAAATTGGGGTCTTCAAAATTTCAATTACATTAAAAAGTTGACGTAGCTATATTCGTGCCCATTCATCGTGCTTGGACGTAATGAAGGGTGCAACAGATGGTTCACATTTTTTCATTACACCGGCAAAACTACTGTACACCAGGAGATTTATGTCGGATTAAAATATAGAACGCGTTATATTCGCTACATATCCGGAGCGCCAGGAGGCGTGTTCGACAAATACTTTTATTATGTTTCTGGTCAGAAACAAAGAAAAGATTTTTTTAGCAAGTATCTTCTTATATGAATATAAATAATGTGATCAATTGAATCTATAACAATATTATAAAGAAGAAATATTTGTTTTTTGTTTGTTTGTTTGTACCGAATAGGCTCCGAAATTACAGAAGCGATTTAGATGAAATTCGGTGAAAAGTGAGTTTGTGACCTTGGGAAGGATATATGATAGTTTCTATCCCAGAAATAATCCTTTAAAGGGGTTATAATTGGGATGAAAATTTGTATGGAGAAGTGACCTAGGGACGAACTAGAGCGAAGCGAAGGTGAGTCGCTAGTAATAAATAAAAATAGCATTTATATGCAGGTAACAAGATTTTTCAGCTTATTTGATATTTTACAAAGCTAAAATAATTATGCTAGAAGTCTCATAAGGATCCTGTTATTTACCGAAAATAGTGAGAATCATATAATTTCATATACAAGATATCTTTAAAGTTGTAATAATTATTTTATACTAGCATTGCCCGCGGCTCTGCCCGCGTTAGATGACCAAAAACCAAATTCTTAGGTTTTACATATTAGTATACTCGTACAATGCAGTTTTTGTATTTTTTCTCAGAAATGAGATATTTTCCCGCGGTATAAAGTATCCTATATATTGACCCGGATAACCAGCTATCACCATACCAAATTTCATCAAAATCCCTCTAGTGGTTTTTCTGTGATGCGGTAACAGACAGACAGACAAAAATTCTAAAAACTATAGATTCGGCCTCTATATCGACAATAATGTTTACTTAAATAAGATTTTCCAAAAAATATTTAATGTACAGATTAAACTTAGTTACAATTTTATTATATGTATAGATTAATATGAATGATGTTAACCTTATAATTTGTTGTTACATACATAATATAAGTATACACAATATACAATATCATATATGTATATTTATAAAATTATTATAAAAGTACTTTTAATCTTAAAAACACCTTTACATATTTCACTAATAAATTGATACTAAGACAAATTAGTTATGAGACGGCTTCGTAAAAGAAATTATGGCTACTACTTTTCGAAATACTAAAATGTATCTCGGAATTTTATCGGTATCGCGTTAGATTACGTAATATATTTAGAAAATCTAAATGTGGTGATTTGAAGGCGTTTAAGTCATTCAATTAAAAAACGTATATCGTTTTAGAGCAAACGCGGTGCCGACGCATCAATATGCGACACACGGCTTATCTTCTGTCCCTACAGTTTAATGCATATCTAAATGAAGTGAGATCTGATACGATAAGATCCATTGACTTAAAATATATTACGTAGAAGTTGTTCATTATATTGCTCTTAGGAATCGAAGAAAATTTTATTATTTTACTCATCCTCTCTTATACTTTCTCTCGACAAATTACGTATAAGTATGTCCACATTACTGCTAAGTGGATATAGTATTTACAGAAAGAAAAGATTTCTAGAAGTTTTAAAAAATATATTTAATCCCTCAACGAACGCGGACATGTCAGCGTTACAATTAACAATAGATTTCATAGAAATTTAATTAAAAATATTTAAGTAAAGTGTTTGTTTTTGTACTCTAATACAAAAAAACTAGATTATTAGTAGACATACAAGATGATCATTTACTACTGTGCGAAATAAAATTCAATACTTTGAAATCAAACTAGGTATTCATTCATTCGACACAATTATTATGTTTTTATATAGCTTCGATATTGACTTGTCGGAACTGTCGAAGCTGTTCATGTGGCGTGTTTAAACCGCATAATTTAGTGTTCGAATATGGCATACTGCAGAGTGCAGGCTAAGTTTAATTGAAATACGGGTTTATATTATAACATTGTGAACAAGTAAATAAGCATGAATGTTCAGGGAATGATGCTATATAGTATAAGAATAACTATAAGATTATTATGTAGGTAGTTATTGTAACTTCTTATATTGTTAAGCTTATGTTTCAAAAATAAGGAAATGACGTTATAAGATATATTTTATTATTGTCCTCCTTCGTTGCCAATCTTGCAACATTTTCAAATACGGTCAGTGTTCCATGAGATATAGGATAATAGAAAAAGAAATAAAAATGAAATATTGCAAGGCATTATAGGGCGATTGTGACATAAATGGCGTGGTGCAGCCAGCGACATATTTGTTGCTACTTAATCAGTGTGTATTTGATGTACTTCGCGTCTTGTCTATACATAATATAATAAAATTGTAACTAAGCTGAATCTATACATTAAACATTTTTTGGAAAACTTATTGAAATAAACATTATTATCGATACAGAGGCCGAATCTATAGTTTTTAGAATTTTCGTCTGTCTGTCTGTTAGCGCATCATAGAAAAACCACTGGAGGGATTTTGATAAAATTTGGTATGGTGATAGCTGGCTATACGGGTCAACATATAGGATAATTTTTACCGCGGGAAATGTCTCAGTTCTAAGAAAAAATACAAAAACTACAATGTAAGAGTATACTTATATGTAAAACCTAAGAACTTGGTTTTTGATAATCTGAACGCGGGCAGAGCCGCGGGTAATAAATAAATAATAAATAAATATGTCAGGACATTAACACACAACACCATCTAGTTCCATGGTAAGCTACGAGGCTTGTGTTATATGTGTTATTCTATCTTTTGCTGAAAACTGCATTAAAATCCGTTGAGTAGTTTAAAAGATCTAAGCGAACAGACAGCGGAAGCGTTTCATTTTATACTATGTAAAGATACAAATTTTATTTTTTATGTAATAATTAATGTCAAACATTTACGTTAGTTACTAGTTGAGATAAATAATAGCCTTTTATTCAAAAACAGCAATGTAAGGTAGATCATATATCATATGTAGTAGGTAAACTTTATCTGTTAAAATCTGAAAAGTGTTTTAGAACGAAAGATAAATAATTTTAGTATATAGTGCGTCTCTAGCATACTTTTTACTATGAAATACAAATCTTTGAATTTAGGCTTTTCACTATAATACAAAACATATAATCTTATCACTCTATTATTGCATTGCATTAAAATTGAGTAGTTTAAAGATCTAAGCGAACAGACAGCGGAACCGTTTCATTTTATACTATGTAAAGATACTAATTTTATTTTTTATGTAATGTCAACATTTACGTTAGTTACTAGTTAGAAGTTTACAACTACAATGTTCAGATACGACTGCTATTATGCCTACGATGTCATGGCTTTGGAGAATATATGAGATGAAAAATACTCGTACAAGTATTCATAAGAGCTGGAGTCGGATTGAATGCGTGAGTCGTAAGTAGGTTAAATGTAGTTATCTCTCTCTGGATCAAATCTTTGATGCTATTTTTGCGATTTCTTTCTTCTTTAACGTGTGTGGTTAGAGTTTTATCTCAAGAACTTACGGGCGGTCGATTAAATGGGGTTCTAAAATAAATTCAGAAGTACAAATAAAATCACATATGACTCAACATGTGTTTCTACGTCAGTTGAGTCCTTCGAGCTTATCAAAATTTGGAACATAAAATCAAATACGTAATGAACGCACCAATTATAGCAATTTGCCGCAATATGTCATTCTTTTAATCAACATATTTTATCGAGTCGCATTTGTAAATCACGATATCATACGGTATATAAAAGTTTTGTTTTTCTTTTTGTGTAATAAAATATTGATTCATTTAGTGTGTTTCAATTAAAAAATATAAACACAATTTTTACTTCTAGCGTTTTATGATATAAAAATATTTTATATAAATTATGAACGGTCGCTTAGGAGATAGGCCGAGATTGCGATTGGCTGATATATTTGTAGTAAAATTATACGGGACGTAGAGGTATAAGATAATTTATAACCGCGCTAACACAGGAGCGAGGGCCCGAGGCACGCACCGCGTTGCCTCAGGTTAGGCGCATCATTTATATTTTTCTGATGTTTGTTTATTTTTTTATAGCTCTCTCTGTGAATGTCGGTTGCCAGATCTAAACAAAGAATGGTGAACGACTAATGGCCGTGTGTTTTCATTGTAACAGCGGTGTTTGGTCAATTTGTTTGCATCCGAATAATTTATTAAAATTATATTTTAATGATGAAATTTCACTGTCAATGTTTATTTAATATCATTTTAAATGATAATTGCTACATTATTGAAATGTTAATGTTTTATTATTTTAAACAACAATGTAAATGCAGACAGCTAAAAGGTTTGATTGAAATCGTATATAATAAAAGTTTTATCCATTCGAAAATATATTTGCAGCGCGTGTGTAGATTGTAGCCGCAAGGCGACACATCACATAATTCCCCACTCCTTTTTGGATAAAATTCCAATCACGAAAGATTAAATCTGTCTGTTATTTGAGGAACTCTACCGCTGCAGGGAATTTGGTACAAGATAAATGTACAAATATGTAGTAACTAATCAATATATTATGTACTAATTTGTTTTATATTTCGAATAAACTCCTTTTCTTAGAATTGAATATCCCAAAAATTGTATAACTTGTTTTATAAAAAGAAACTAGTTCTAGAGTAGATATGGCTTTCAATATTATCTTAAAAATTTATCTTTATGTCAAAATATATTCTGACGGACATGAAATTAGACGAAGGGTTGAGTGAACCATTCTTATTATTTGTTCAAGTTAAAAAAAAAAACAATAGCCTCTCTGTTGAAGTTGTCATACTTTGGTAGTTATTGACCGAATGAATATTTGTAGATCACTGGTCTATTAGGCTGCCAATTGAATGTACTGTGTCAATAAAAGTTCGTTACATCAGGAACGTTGGCAGCAAGAGTCGTGTTAAAGTGAAGAGGCACTCTCACGATTTCGTTTAATTGTTACTCACAGCCCCAACAACTTCACTAATAATACAAATGAACTCAGTAACATTGAATGCATACTATTAAAAAAAAGTTACTTTCATCATATACATTTCTAACAACAGCTAACTAGCAAATATATTTATCTACTGAAGCATACATCCATAAGTGGGAATTAACTCATGATATTCAAAATCGGCAATGGCGCCACACAGATTGTCATAAAAATTGTTTAATCTAATTATATATTCTTAAAGTTCTTAAAATACCTCACTAAATTTTAATTTTTATTAGATTCACTGTGTAACATGAAAATGGAAAATTAGGTTCCCCATGGACCGTTCATATAGTAACAAAAAGTAATTACATTCAATATTTAACCGTGTTGTCAACTTTACAAGCTCTTTTACTTTTATTCGTTAAAACGATCTTGCCACATCGGAAGTATAATCAAACTGTATGATTTACGTGAAATTGTATAATATGTATTTAGATTAATGTAAGGAAAAATAGAAACGTCTGTAACAATTTAAACTGCATTCCGAGCGAGTTAATAAAATGTTCTCTAACGAACGATTTCGACGTCCCGCTGAGTTAAAATGATGATATATATCAAATATAATATTTCTGTTTTGTTTTCACTAATTTATAATGTATACGGTCATACAAGTTCCATACGAAGTTGTAATTTAAATGAAACAGATTTTGTTATACCGTCCACCATTAGTTTTATAAAGTTATGTTACAGTAAATAATAATAATTTATTAAATGTAATCGCAACCTCCATGAACCCTGCAAACTATAAAATGCAACCGGAAGTTCATTTTAACATGCAACTGACAAAACAGTCGTTTAAAAGATAAATATCAGAGATGGACTTGTAGATTATACCTACATTGCACTGATAACGTTAAATGTTCGTATTGGAAAATACTTATATAAAGCTCATTTAATATTTTTATTACGAAAATCATAGAATTAATTTAAATTGTAAAAGCTTGTTATTATTTTGAACTAATGTATATTAAATAAATGTGATGTGTATATATTTTTATTTACTTTTGTAAAAACATATTTAATGTTTATTTTACTTACATATATTATTTTAATAATAATACTTATAATTATTTTAAATAACTCTTTTATAAAGTAATTTGGAACCTTTAAAATTTGTTGGATATAACAATTTTATCTCTTACTTTCATGTCAAGATGTGATTAATATTAATACCATCGAAATAACATTATGGGTAATCATTACGTTTATATTTTTTAAATTAATTATTCTTGATTTGTATATACATTACAAAGACTTGTGCATGTAATAAGACTTACCTATAAAGTAGGCGAGCATGGCCGCCAGGATGACGCAGAGGCATATCATGGCTATAGCTAAGCACTTCCAAGTACAGCGATGTTGACATCGCTTGTCTATATGGAAGCGTGAAGGCGAGTACACTGGCACAGGACTCGGTTGACTGGCGCGAAGAGGGAACCCCGGCATCACCAGGGGCTGGTTGGCGAGCTGGCAGTGACCAAGAGTACCACCTCCCATACCACTCGACATACCAGTACCGCCCATCCTGTTGAAAAAAAAATTATTGTATACTCGTAATTATTTCTTAAATATGAATATTTGGACAGATCAAAGAGGGCCATAGGCATTGCCAAGGTTCATAAGTTTTGTTTTCAGGCCAGAGTTGCCCTAAATCTAGTTTTTTTTTTTTAAAATCTTATTTTAATGTTAACACTTTGGAGATGTAGATCCTATATTTAATATTGTCATAATTATTAATAAAAGAAAGTTATGATAGTATAACTTTAAGCGTAGATTTTGATATTTAAACTTTCATAATTTGTATTCGAATATAAAAAACTATCTAGGTACCTGCTTTGATTCTGTTCTATGATTAAACATATGTTATATCGTCACACCATATGGTGGATTTTTGAAGTAATCAAAACGTATCATTAATAGGGATGCTGACAAAAAAGATAATTGAACGTTTGAAAATGTCCGCCTCAAGACTCCATTAATCAATTAGCTCGGGTTCTTTGTCGAAAAGAACAGATAAAAATATATGTATAAGATTTCGAGTGTCCGTTGCGCTCACCACCTGACGCCGTTTTAATGACCTATAGACAAAGGGATAAGCAAAAAATTGAAATAATTGGTCCAAGTTTAGCGCGAGCGGAGCGTGACTTCTAAAAGATTTGTTTCGAGGATGCTTTTCGCTGTAATTTTCTTTAAAGATTATTCAGAGTAAGAATAAACTTATTAAATAACGAACAATACGAATCTTGTATAATGACGACGGACGTAAAACTTTACACTGTTGCAAATTACATGGAATTAAATTAAATTCTTCTTTATTGTGTTAAATTTTAGTGAGTACAAAATTCTTACAACTTACAAGTATTGCTTTGTATCACTAACTTGTCTTATAAATATAAGTTTAGAATTATGAAATAACACTAATATTAGTCAGCTATTCATAACTGTACTTGAAATTGATTTTGTTATATGCGTGGTTATTAACTTTTTGTAGATTGTAATTTTAAGTGCTATTACTGGCCGAAATGCATCATTTCCGCGCGTTACCGAAATGGGCAGACCAATCATTATTGTTTTATTATAATCATGTGGTCGTGTGTACTGAGTTAAAATTAATATAAATTCACTGGTTTGGTTTTATAAATTCCATATAAATTTTACTCTTTAGACAACAAAATGAGCTGAAAAAGGGAAAGAGTAAGACAATTAACGAAGCTGACGACAGTGACTATAGTAGGACACTGCCGCGATATTTCAAGCGGCGGACAGACGGGTGTTCGTTAGGATTTTGACAGGCTCTTGTCATGAGTGAGCTCTTAATGAAGCGGTAAATAATGAGGTGTTGTACGGCACGGAGTCGTGTTTAATTAATGCTAGCGTTCGCACCCTACATATACACTGAAAATGGGGAATTCTAGTATTATGATTCTTGCCATTGTTAGCCATTGTTTTAAACAAAAGTTTTATTTGAGAGCTAACGGTAAATACTGTTAATATAAATAGCAAAAGGAATGAAGGGGAAAAAATGTTCGCGATCGATGGTTGTACGTGTTTAAGTCAGGAACTCGTTAGACGTCCGCGTCTGGCTTTAGTCGCACAGTTTTTGTCCTTATAATCGCGCGTGCAGCGGTTACTTCTAGTTTGAAGCAGGCCGGGCGACCTCTAACTCGGAAACGAGATAAAACAAAAACAAGAAAAATGCAGGCACGGGCCGTGAGAACGCGTCTTCTACGTTGCGGTCGCTCTGTACCATCCATTTATCTTGCACAGTCGTGCGGGAATGGACCGGCCAGCGATGTGCTTTTATTGCATCTTGCCCTTAAATATACGTCTGTGCCAGAAAGCCGCGCCATATCATATCGATGTACTATTTTTTGTGAAATGCAAAAGTAAAAATTTGGAGGAAATATTTTTTTGGTAACCTATAGTTATTCAAATAATATATATATATATATATATATATATATATATATATATATATATATATATATATATATATATATATATATATATTCATTCCCATGTTTTGTATACATATATAAAGTGGTATATGATTTTGTTTTAAAAGTGAATTTAATAAAAACGGTTAAAAAAAGTATCAGCTATTTGCATTATGATATCATATGGATAGTTAGTATAACTTAGAGAGTAATTGCTGTTTGAATTGAATAGGGAACATTAATTATTATTATAGGTTGGTGAACGTTCAATAGTGATATTATTCATTGTTGATTCTCGAAATGTTTCATTGTTGTAAGCTATTCAAAAGATAAGACGTTATTATGGACTGTATTATTAGTACAAGCAAGCAACGTTAAGGCAAAATAATAATTTATTTAATAAAATAGCTGGTGGTAACAACTTCACACAAAGACAATTGATATATAGTGAATGATATTGATCGAAGTGAATTTGTAAGTCGACTGCAGGCCCGCCCTCCGGCGCGACGCTCGCTGCAAGTCACTGGTGTAAATTTAAGAAAGCCCCTCAATTTAAAACGAAATGTGTTACAATAGCGTTGCCCTGTTCCGCCAATTTCCGCCCTCGATGTTAGTGTTTAGTAACTGACATGAAAATGCAACCACCTCAATATGTATAGTTTAGTATAGATAGATAATAAAAATATATATTATGTAAATAATTTATAATTAGTAGGAACAAACTAATGTTAAGAAACCAATGCAACTATTTATTTTATCATTAGTTCAATCTTCCTAAACATTATACATATGGCTGCCAGACGAAATGCCTTTCGTTTGACGTAGCACTCGAAATTCATCGCGTTGCTAAGATAGAAATCTTCTAATAAAACAATTTAAAAATAATTATGAATGATATTATAATAAATAGAGCTGGTTTAATATGCATTTTGAGTAAACATGGGTGAATGGGATCAGTCTTGGTTTTTATTATTAAACAGAGCTTTAAGATCTTTACTATAAAAATTGATTTATTTGTGATTTTTAATTTATATTTGTAAATAACTTATAATATATAAAGTTTCTCTATCATCCGCTGATAAAGCATGTAGCGCGCGAAGTATGAAAGGTGATAAATTCGCATTTAGTGCAATCCAACGTAAGATGTCAGGATTTAAATTCAGCACTCTCGGAATCGTTGAACCCGTTTCTCTTATTAATAACCCTCATATCGCAGTGTTTGTTTTAGTCGCCTCGAGTTCTGTTAGGTAATGGTGAAGTTGATTCATGAATGGGAGAGTGGCTCGCGCATTGCGAGTTTGCACACACGAATATATTTAACAAACATCATTTTCCTAGAAATACTTATCTAGCGACGGAAGCTTTCATAAATTATTGCTGAGGTGGAGGCGATTAAAGTATTTTGACTCTGATTTATTGCTGTAATACTAAACCTATGCTCTACACTAAATCTATGCTACCTTTATATTGTATTATTATATACTTACTAGCGGACCCGACAGACGTTGTCCTGTCTACACGTCTTTAATTTGAAAATTTAAAACTTTTTTTAAGAATTTTTTTGATGAAAATTATTATTCAAATTGTGAATCTAAACAATTCCCAGATCCCCTTGAACACACACAAAAAATTTCATCAAAATCGGTCCAGTCGTTTGAGAGAAGTTCAGTGACATACACACTCTCAGAAGAATTATATATATAAAGATTTTGCTATGAAAATTGATGTATGTATTGATTGTATATAAAAATATTGTTTTATAGAATATGAATATGGTAAATTATGTCCAATTAATTTAGTCAAAATTGAAACCTTCTAAAATTTATGGAATTTGTAGATAATCTCCCGCTGTGATGCCTAACTAGCTAACTGCAATACTAAAACGCTTCGGGCAATATTATCACTAGAATGAATGGAAGCGGAGTTGAATAAGCAGCCAATTACCGTCCGCCCGTGGACCGCGGGGACCCACACGTAAATAATCGTGCTCACGCGCAGAAATCCGATAGACATAAACAATTTTCCATTAGCCGAGCCGCGTACTGGCTAGGGAGAGAGAATATTTCCAATTTCCATACCTAACGGTGAACACTATGCGATAGCGATAACCTTTTATTACGGTGTTGTCGTTGGAAGATATTATTATGGTAATGCTAAATTGATGCAAATTTAGCACTATAATAGATTTTGTAAGTGTCGCGTGTTTTGTGCACTACTAACTGTTCGATTAAACAGATGTATTTAGAAGTGTTTCATATTCATAAAATAAGTAGTACGCAGTTCATTAGCCTTTACGTAAATATATATATATATATATATATATATATATATATATATATATATATATGATGTGTGTATATATATATATAATACCTAATATAGTGAAATGTGTTTAATATAATTCTAGGTATCTTTAAAGATAATGATCAACGTCTCGACTGGGTGCGCAACGCAGGTCTTAACTAAGCGCCTGCTATTGTTCAGCGAAACGGAAAAACGGTTTCGCAAGCGAGCCCCCGGCCGGTCGTATTTCACCCCGAGTTCAATATTATTTCGGCAGCGCCACAAAGAAGCGGAAGGCCCGTGCCGCCGCCGCGGGCCACTGCTCGCATCCTTCCACAATATTGTCCTTCTGTTGCCTCGGGTTATACTGTAAATATTTTTCGGTGGTCTGATTGAAAAATTTTATCGCATTTCTCCCCATTTCCCATATCAGATTGAGAAATTCATGCATTTTGATATGCACAAGTACCTGAACGGAAACTCAGCTGCTATAGACAGCGCGAGATGTATGTATAATGTATATCAATGAATTGAATTTAAACGAACTCATAGGTAGTAACATTTGAAAAAATCCATTAATAATAAATGTTTTTAGAATTGTTTTCCTTGTCTCGATAAATTTTCTTTGTAATAGCTTTTCCAATGCTAAGTTTACGACTGTTGTATAATAATAACTTGACATTTAAAATAACAATTACAATAAAAACACAATAAAAGTGCAGCAGCAAGCAGTGATAGTTAAAGATATACGTTGGTAGGTATGAATGAGAGTTCAAAGTTCATTTCTATGATTACAATGCTGTAG